GTGAGCGTCTTTGAGTGTGTGTCGGTAAGTGTCTGAGTCTTTTAAGTACGTGAGAGTCTTGTGTGTGCGAGCCCGTATGAGAGTGTGTACGTGAATGTAAGCGTGTGTGTGTATGTGCATTAGGCTGCGTTGGAGGCATTCGCCCTCCAGCAACAGTGGAGGGCACAGGAGCGACGCTCACAACAGCAAGCGCCGCGCCGGGCGCCTGAAACGCAGAAATTTGGCAAAGTGGGGAGCAAAGGTGGTGCATCTGACGGTCATTTCAGTTAACCCATGGCACGTGGGTCTGTCCCGTGACCTCCCAGCAAGCCTTTGACACTTCACGTCGCCTCAAAGTCCACCTAGCCTGGCACAAGCGCAGTGGTGACGTCACCGCCACTTAGTGGCGAATGGCGGGTGTTGTTAGTGTTATATATGTCTGTTGTCTGTATATGTGCCTGTATGTACGTCTCTGTATGTGTGTGCACGCGTGTGACACGTTTGTACGTACGTCTCTGTGTCTCGGTGTGCGTGCATGTGCCTGTGTGTCTCGGTGTGCGTGCGTGTGCATGTGTGTCTGTACGTACGTCTCTGTGTGTCTCGGTGTGCGTGTGTGTGCCTGTGTGTCTGTACGTACGTCTCGGTGTGTCTCGGTGTGCGTGCGTGTGCCTGTGTGTCTGTACGTAGGTCTCTGTGTGTCTCGGTGTGCGTGCGTGTGCCTGTGTGTCTGTACGTAGGTCTCTGTGTGTCTCGGTGTGCGTGCGTGTGCCTGTGTGTCTGTACGTAGGTCTCTGTGTGTCTCGGTGTGCGTGTGCCTGTGTGTCGGTACGTACGTCTCTGTGTGTCTCGGTGTGCGTGCGTGTGCCTGTGTGTCTGTACGTAGGTCTCTGTGTGTCTCGGTGTGCGTGCGTGTGCCTGTGTGTCTGTACGTACGTCTCTGTGTGTCTCTGCGTGCGTGCGTGTGCCTGTGTGTCTGTACGTACGTCTCTGTGTGTCTCGGCGTGCGTGTGCCTGTGTGTCTGTACGTACGTCTCTGTGTGTCTCTGCGTGCGTGCGTGTGCGTGCCTGTGTGTCGGTACGTACGTCCCGGTGTGTCTCGGCGTGCGTGTGCCTGTGTGTCTGTACGTACGTCTCTGTGTGTCTCTGCGTGCGTGTGCCTGTGTGTCGGTACGTACGTCCCGGTGTGTCTCGGCGTGCGTGTGCCTGTGTGTCTGTACGTACGTCTCGGTGTGTCTCTGCGTGTGCGTGCCTGTGTGTCTGTACGTACGTCCCGGTGTGTCTCGGCGTGCGTGTGCCTGTGTGTCTGTATGTACGTCTCGGTGTGTCTCTGCGTGCGTGCGTGTGCGTGCCTGTGTGTCTGTACGTACGTCCCGGTGTGTCTCTGCGTGCGTGTGCCTGTGTGTCTGTACGTACGTCTCGGTGTGTCTCGGCGTGCGTGCGTGCGTGTGCCTGTGTGTCGGTACGTACGTCTCGGTGTGTCTCGGCGTGCGTGCGTGTGCGTGCCTGTGTGTCTGTACGTACGTCCCGGTGTGTCTCTGCGTGCGTGTGCCTGTGTGTCTGTACGTACGTCTCGGTGTGTCTCGGCGTGCGTGCGTGTGCCTGTGTGTCGGTACGTACGTCTCGGTGTGTCTCGGCGTGCGTGCGTGTGCGTGCCTGTGTGTCTGTACGTACGTCCCGGTGTGTCTCGGCGTGCGTGTGCCTGTGTGTCTGTACGTACGTCTCGGTGTGTCTCGGCGTGCATGCGTGCGTGTGCCTGTGTGTCGGTACGTACGTCTCTGTGTGTCTCTGCGCGCGTGTGCCTGTGTGTCTGTACGTACGTCCCGGTGTGTCTCGGTGTGCGTGTGTGTGCCTGTGTGTCTGTACGTAGTCTCTGTGTGTCTCGGTGTGCGTGCGTGTGCCTGTGTGTCGGTACGTAGTCTCTGTGTGTCTCTGCGTGCGTGTGCCTGTGTGTCTACGTACGTCCCGGTGTGTCTCTGCGTGCGTGTGCCTGTGTGTCTGTACGTACGTCCCGGTGTGTCTCGGCGTGCGTGCGTGTGCCTGTGTGTCTGTACGTACGTCCCGGTGTGTCTCTGCGTGTGTGTGCCTGTGTGTCTCTGCGTGCGTGTGCCTGTGTGTCTGTACGTACGTCCCGGTGTGTCTCGGCGTGCGTGTGTGTCTGTGTGTCTGTACGTCCCGGTGTGTCTCTGCGTGTGTGTGCCTGTGTGTCTCTGCGTGCGTGTGTCTGTACGTACGTCCCGGTGTGTCTCGGCGTGCGTGTGCCTGTGTGTCTGTACGTACGTCTCGGTGTGTCTCTGCGTGCGTGTGTGTGCCTGTGTGTCTGTACGTACGTCTCGGTGTGTCTCTGCGTGCGTGTGTGTGCCTGTGTGTCTGTACGTACGTCCCGGTGTGTCTCTGCGTGTGTGTGCCTGTGTGTCTCTGCGTGCGTGTGTGTGCCTGTGTGTCTGTACGTACGTCTCGGTGTGTCTCTGCGTGCGTGTGTGTGCCTGTGTGTCTGTACGTACGTCCCGGTGTGTCTCTGCGTGTGTGTGCCTGTGTGTCTCTGCGTGCGTGTGTGTGCCTGTGTGTCTGTACGTACGTCTCGGTGTGTCTCTGCGTGCGTGTGTGTGCCTGTGTGTCTGTACGTACGTCCCGGTGTGTCTCTGCGTGTGTGTGCCTGTGTGTCTCTGCGTGCGTGTGTGTGCCTGTGTGTCTGTACGTACGTCCCGGTGTGTCTCTGCGTGCGTGTGCCTGTGTGTCTGTACGTACGTCCCGGTGTGTCTCGGCGTGCGTGCGTGTGCCTGTGTGTCTGTACGTACGTCCCGGTGTGTCTCTGCGTGTGTGTGCCTGTGTGTCTCTGCGTGCGTGTGCCTGTGTGTCTGTACGTACGTCCCGGTGTGTCTCGGCGTGCGTGTGTGTCTGTGTGTCTGTACGTCCCGGTGTGTCTCTGCGTGTGTGTGCCTGTGTATCTCTGCGTGCGTGTGTCTGTACGTACGTCCCGGTGTGTCTCGGCGTGCGTGTGCCTGTGTGTCTGTACGTACGTCTCGGTGTGTCTCTGCGTGCGTGTGTGTGCCTGTGTGTCTGTACGTACGTCTCGGTGTGTCTCTGCGTGCGTGTGTGTGCCTGTGTGTCTGTACGTACGTCCCGGTGTGTCTCTGCGTGTGTGTGCCTGTGTGTCTCTGCGTGCGTGTGTGTGCCTGTGTGTCTGTACGTACGTCTCGGTGTGTCTCTGCGTGCGTGTGTGTGCCTGTGTGTCTGTACGTACGTCCCGGTGTGTCTCTGCGTGTGTGTGCCTGTGTGTCTCTGCTTGCGTGTGTGTGCCTGTGTGTCTGTACGTACGTCTCGGTGTGTCTCTGCGTGCGTGTGTGTGCCTGTGTGTCTGTACGTACGTCCCGGTGTGTCTCTGCGTGTGTGTGCCTGTGTGTCTCTGCGTGCGTGTGTGTGCCTGTGTGTCTGTACGTACGTCCCGGTGTGTCTCTGCGTGCGTGTGCGTGTGTGTCTCTGCGTGCGTGTGGGTCCGGATCGCCTGGGCTCCCCCCGTGCTGCCCACGTGCATCCCGGCCCTCGCGGGGCTGGTAATGGAGACGGCTCGCGTGGGCACTGCCCAATTAAATATTAACGAGCTACAGAGCGGAGCTTAGTCACACGCGCCGCCGCCGCCAGGCACCACGGCGAGCGCCTGGGCGCCAGAGCCTGGCCGGGCACGCCGACCCGAATCGGCCACCGCGGGTCGGTGGAGTCGCTCGCCCCCCGGGGCTTCTTCGTTCACACAGCTACCCACGGACTCCGCTCCGAACCCACAAGCTCCGTGCATCACTCACAGGGGTCCTCTTCACACACACACACAGGGGTCCTCTTCACACACACACAGGGGTCCTCCACACACACACACACGGTTTCCTCTTCACACACACACACGGGGGTCCTCTTCACACACACACACACACGGTTTCCTCTTCACACACACACACGGTTTCCTCTTCACACACACACACACGGTTTCCTCTTCACACACACACACGGGGGTCCTCTTCACACACACACACACACGGTTTCCTCTTCACACACACACACGGTTTCCTCTTCACACACACACACACGGTTTCCTCTTCACACACACACACGGGGGTCCTCTTCACACACACACACACGGGGGTTCCTTCTTCACCCCCGGGGGTCCCTCGCCCGCAGGTTTTCCCTGGGGTCGCCCACGGGGGGGCGACTTCCGCGCCGCTGGGGGCCGCTCCCTCGCCTCTTTCCACGAACTGCCTCTTCACGGCGCGTCGCCGCAAAACACGGAACCGGATTCAAACCCGAGCCACCTGACATCGCGGACGCGCGTGGTGTCCGGTGCTCACCGTAGGCCACGCGCATCTCGTCTCGGCTCGCGAACCGATGAGCGGAAGCCACCGCAGCGCGGCCCCCCGCTCCTCGCTCGCTCCCCCGCTCCCCCGCTCCTCGCTCGCTCCCCCGTTCTCGCTCGCTCCCCTGCCCCCCGCTCGCTTCCCCGCGCCCCCCGCGCCCCGTGGCCGCTTGGCGCTCCGCGAGCCCGCGACCCGACCCCTCGCCCTGGAGGCGAGAGAGGTCGCTCCCGAGTGAGGTGCTCACGGGAACCGCGAGGATGACGAGGAGCTAGCTGGATGGGATGGTGAGGAGCTCCCGGCGGGGTGGTGAGGCGTTCGCGGAACGGGAAGTGTGGAGCGGGGAGCTTGGGGAGCTTTGGGCAGATTCGGCCGACGGCCCCCGGGCACGTGTGTAATTGAGTGTGAACGTAGCCACGAGCGTCGCTGGCGGCTGCCCCCCAGGTCACCCTCACTTTGTGATAGTTAGCCCAGCAGCAGCAGCAGCGGGGGCGGTAGTGTTTCCCGGGTAGAGTGGGAGCGGCCAGTGCGGTGAGTTCCGTTGGCGTGCATCACCTTCCTCCGCACCCCTCCCCGTGGCACTGCTTAGCCCCTGCCCCGGTTGCCGTCTTGCGATCTGCTCCGTTGGAAGCGGGGTGGAGGATTTGGGACCCCCGACTCATGGTGTGCGCTCTCTTCTTGCAGGGCATCGTGGTGACGCCCGCGCTGCTGCTGATGTTTGTGAGTAGCGGCAACTCGCAGCGCGAGCATCACCACCTGCACCACCAGCGTAACCACCCTAATCACCACCTGCACCACCAGCGTAACCACCCTAATCACCACCTGCACCACCAGCGTAACCACCCTAATCACCACCTGCACCACCAGTGTAACCACCCTAATCACCACCTGCACCACCTGCACCACCAGTGTAACCACCCTAATCACCACCTGCACCACCAGCGTAACCACCCTAATCACCACCTGCACCACCTGCACCACCAGTGTAACCACCCTAATCACCACCTGCACCACCAGTGTAACCACCCTAATCACCACCTGCACCACCAGCGTAACCGCCCTAATCACCACCTGCACCACGAGTGTAACCACCCTAATCACCACCTGCACCACCAGTGTAACCACCCTAATCACCACCTGCACCACCAGTGTAACCACCCTAATCACCACCTGCACCACCAGCGTAACCGCCCTAATCACCACCTGCACCACCAGCGTAACCACCCTAATCACCACCTGCACCACCAGTGTAACCACCCTAACCACCACCTGCACCACCAGCGTAACCACCATAATCACCACCTGCACCACCAGTGTAACCACCCTAATCACCACCTGCACCACCAGTGTAACCACCCTAATCACCACCTGCACCACCAGTGTAACCACCCTAATCACCACCTGCACCACCAGTGTAACCGCCCTAATCACCACCTGCACCACCAGTGTAACCACCCTAATCACCACCTGCACCACCAGTGTAACCACCCTAATCACCACCTGCACCACCAGCGTAACCACCATAATCACCACCTGCACCACCAGCGTAACCGCCCTAATCACCACCTGCACCACCAGCGTAACCACCATAATCACCACCTGCACCACCAGTGTAACCACCCTAATCACCACCTGCACCACCAGCGTAACCGCCCTAATCACCACCTGCACCACCAGTGTAACCACCCTAATCACCACCTGCACCACCAGCGTAACCGCCCTAATCACCACCTGCACCACCAGCGTAACCACCCTAATCACCACCTGCACCACCAGCGTAACCACCCTAATCACCACCTGCACCACCAGCGTAACCACCCTAATCACCACCTGCACCACCAGTGTAACCACCCTAATCACCACCTGCACCACCAGCGTAACCACCATAATCACCACCTGCACCACCAGCGTAACCACCCTAATCATCACCTGCACCACCAGCGTAACCACCCTAATCACCACCTGCACCACCAGTGTAACCACCCTAATCACCACCTGCACCACCAGTGTAACCACCCTAATCACCACCTGCACCACCAGCGTAACCACCCTAATCACCACCTGCACCACCAGTGTAACCACCCTAATCACCACCTGCACCACCAGTGTAACCACCCTAATCACCACCTGCACCACCAGTGTAACCACCATAATCACCACCTGCACCACCAGCGTAACTACCCTAATCACCACCTGCACCACCAGCGTAACCGCCCTAATCACCACCTGCACCACCAGCGTAACCGCCCTAATCACCACCTGCACCACCAGTGTAACCGCCCTAATCACCACCTGCACCACCAGTGTAACCACCCTAATCACCACCTGCACCACCAGCGTAACCGCCCTAATCACCACCTGCACCACCAGCGTAACCGCCCTAATCACCACCTGCACCACCAGTGTAACCGCCCTAATCACCACCTGCACCACCAGCGTAACCACCCTAATCACCACCTGCACCACCAGTGTAACCACCCTAATCACCACCTGCACCACCAGTGTAACCACCCTAATCACCACCTGCACCACCAGCGTAACCACCCTAATCACCACCTGCACCACCAGTGTAACCACCCTAATCACCACCTGCACCACCAGTGTAACCACCATAATCACCACCTGCACCACCAGTGTAACCACCCTAACCACCACCTGCACCACCAGTGTAACCACCCTAATCACCACCTGCACCACCATTGTAACCACCCTAATCACCACCTGCACCACCAGCGTAACCACCCTAATCACCACCTGCACCACCAGTGTAACCACCCTAATCACCACCTGCACCACCAGTGTAACCACCCTAATCACCACCTGCACCACCAGTGTAACCACCCTAATCACCACCTGCACCACCAGTGTAACCACCCTAACCACCACCTGCACCACCAGTGTAACCACCCTAACCACCACCTGCACCACCAGTGTAACCACCCTAATCACCACCTGCACCACCAGTGTAACCACCCTAATCACCACCTGCACCACCAGCGTAACCACCCTAATCACCACCTGCACCACCAGTGTAACCACCCTAATCACCACCTGCACCACCAGTGTAACCACCATAATCACCACCTGCACCACCAGTGTAACCACCCTAACCACCACCTGCACCACCAGTGTAACCACCCTAATCACCACCTGCACCACCATTGTAACCACCCTAATCACCACCTGCACCACCAGCGTAACCACCCTAATCACCACCTGCACCACCAGTGTAACCACCCTAATCACCACCTGCACCACCAGTGTAACCACCCTAATCACCACCTGCACCACCAGTGTAACCACCCTAATCACCACCTGCACCATCAGTGTAACCACCCTAACCACCACCTGCACCACCAGTGTAACCACCCTAACCACCACCTGCACCACCAGTGTAACCACCCTAATCACCACCTGCACCATCAGTGTAACCACCCTAATCACCACCTGCACCACCAGCGTAACCGCCCTAACCACCACCTGCACCACCAGTGTAACCACCCTAATCACCACCTGCACCACCAGCGTAACCACCCTAATCACCACCTGCACCACCAGCGTAACCACCCTAATCACCACCTGCACCACCAGTGTAACCACCCTAACCACCACCTGCACCACCAGCGTAACCACCCTAATCACCACCTGCACCACCAGTGTAACCACCCTAATCACCACCTGCACCACCAGTGTAACCACCATAATCACCACCTGCACCACCAGTGTAACCACCCTAACCACCACCTGCACCACCAGTGTAACCACCATAATCACCACCTGCACCACCAGTGTAACCACCCTAATCACCACCTGCACCACCAGTGTAACCACCCTAATCACCACCTGCACCACCAGTGTAACCACCCTAATCACCACCTGCACCACCAGCGTAACCACCCTACTCACCACCTGCACCACCAGTGTAACCACCATAACCACCACCTGCACCACCAGTGTAACCGCCCTAATCACCACCTGCACCACCAGTGTAACCACCCTAACCACCACCTGCACCACCAGTGTAACCACCCTAATCACCACCTGCACCACCAGCGTAACCACCCTAATCACCACCTGCACCACCAGCGTAACCGCCCTACTCACCACCTGCACCACCAGCGTAACCACCCTAATCACCACCTGCACCACCGGTGTAACCACCCTAATCACCACCTGCACCATCAGTGTAACCACCCTAATCACCACCTGCACCACCAGTGTAACCGCCCTAACCACCACCTGCACCACCAGTGTAACCACCCTAACCACCACCTGCACCACCAGTGTAACCACCCTAATCACCACCTGCACCATCAGTGTAACCACCCTAATCACCACCTGCACCACCAGCGTAACCGCCCTAACCACAACCTGCACCACCAGTGTAACCACCCTAATCACCACCTGCACCACCAGTGTAACCGCCCTAACCACCACCTGCACCACCAGTGTAACCACCCTAATCACCACCTGCACCACCAGCGTAACCACCCTAATCACCACCTGCACCACCAGTGTAACCACCCTAATCACCACCTGCACCACCAGTGTAACCACCCTAATCACCACCTGCACCACCAGCATAACCGCCGTAATCGCCAGCATCGCCAGAACCAGCTCCACTGACAATGGCACCAACGGGGCCACGGGCCGACTAACGCCACCACCGCCATCAGTAACGCCAACGCTATGAGAACAGCCAACACACTGCTATCAGCAGTCGCCCGCAGCGCGACCCCCACCGTGTGCATTGATGGAGGTGTTGTACGCTGTGTTTGTGGTGTGTGCGAGCGTTGTATGCTTGTTTGTGCGAGTCGTGTGTGTTTGGTTGTTTATATTCTCTGTGTGTATTTTATGTGCGATGTCTACAATATATGTCATGTGTGGTCACGTGTGTGTGTACATCATTCACGTGTTTTGTGTATGTGATGTGTGTGTGTGTGGCATTCCCATGTTGTTGTGCGTGAGGTGTGTGTATGTGATATATATACGTATGTAGATGTAGTGTTCCCAGGTTGTGTGTATGTGATGTGTGTACATGTGTGTGTGTAAGTGGGAAAAACACAGCAAGTACGGTAGGCAGAGTAGGACACACAGGTGGTGTATCGGCCAGTCATCTCAGTCAGTCAACCCATGGCACCTGGGTCTGTCCCGAGACCTCCTGCCAGCGGGCGTTCGACACCTCACTTGGCTTTAACGTGCACGTAGCCTGGCACAAGCGTCGTGGTGACGTCACCGCCACTTAGTGGCGAATGGCGGTTGTTGTTGTTGTTGTTATAAGTGGTAAGCGGTGGAGTAGCGGTTAGCGCACTGTGGTACGATCCCGATTATCTAAACTGGTGTGTAAACATGAACATTGGGGAGACAAAGGCGGCCGGGCGTGGTTCTGGCCACCCACCCCGTCGTGTGCTGTGCTGGCTTTCATAGTTGCTCGCTAACAGCACTTGCCCCTATAGTCTGTTAAGGGGGAATCTTTGTGTTTATGATGTCTGTACGTGGCATGTGTACGTATGTAAGTGTGTGTGTGTATATGACGTGTGTGTGCGCGCGTAACGCACGTGCGTGTGTGTGTCACGTAACACGCGTGTGGTTGTGACGTGTGTCGTTCCCACGCTGCCCCTGTGTGTGGTGCAGCTGGGCTCATCGTCCGCCGTTCCGTTCACCTCCATCTTCTTCCAGCTCTTCATGACCGTGGTGGTGCCACTCATCATCGGCCAGGTGGGTCTTCTCCTCCTCCTCCTCACCACTTCGCCTGCTTCCCTCCGCTGCCCTGCTCTCTCCTCCCCTCTGGCATCATCTCCACCTTGACGGTGAGGGACGGTGAGGATCCACGCTCCCTCGTCGCCTCCAATGCGCCGTCTTGGCGCGTCCGGTGCCTGGACAAGCTGTACTTCTTCCCGGTTTTGTCCGTTGTATTAGAATAATTGATGATGGTGATGATAATGTCGGTGATGCTCCACCCAAAACGACGCACGTCCACGAAGCGCTGCCCTCTTCCGCCCCAGTGTGCGGAGTGCTTCTCTGCCTCCGCTTGCCCTGCGGTGTCGTGCCGTTGTTGTGCCTCACAGCCCTTGGCTCCCCAGGCCCCCCCCCCCCTTAGACCCCCTCGCACACCGGCGGGGCTCTTGAGTGACGAGTGGTTGGGTGACGAGTGGTTGGGTGGCGCTGGTGGCCACCCACCAGCTCGTGGTCGCTCGATGAGGATGGAGCTCGACTGCTCCCTCCCGGGGGCTGGGGGGCCAAGGGATGGGGGGGGGGGCGCCGCGTCGACTCGCGTCGTTGGGATCGCGGCCGCCGCCGCCGGTGAAGTAACACCCCCGGCGAATCGGACAGTTCCCCAGGACGTACCCGCTGCGGATGATTAATAAATGATGTTTTGGTTTATCCACGGAGTCATTATCTGCCTAAATCTGCGTCATCAGGAACCCTCCACCACCCGACACGGCTCAACTAATTCAATGACTACGAGTCGAAGCGTTAACGGCCAATCATGATTATCGTTGTACGAGCTCATCGTGGGGAAGCCGAAGGGCTATTCTCACGACCACGTTGAGCTCAATGAGGTACGCGACATTCCTCTTGCAGCCATGCCAAGCGTCACCAGGACAAGATCGAGAGGATCAACGGTGACGTCGTCCTGCACTGTTTAAGACCGGAAGCAGGTGGATGGCTTCACTATTCTTGCAAATCGCCTGATGATGCTGGATGTGATTGCCAGCGTAACGTCGTACTCAAATTGTAGATGTTGTGGATTCACTCTTCAAACACACCGGTGGGCTGAAGAAGTCACTTTTTGGCGATGTGTTTATGTGACAAATCCCTTACCGATTGGCCGTGTCGGGTGGTGGAGGGTTTCGACACGTTTATACTTGCGCGATCTAACCCAAAAAACCTTTATTAGGAATAATTTTGGTCAATCCAGGAAGTCAGATGCTGACCTGGTCAGATCAATACGTGACCTGGCCCAAAGGTGACTCACGAATCGCGACGGTCGCTGTGTAGCCTGCGTGTTCTGCTGGAGGTGTTGAGCAATTCCTCTTCACAGGCAGCTGCCACTGTCCCCAGTGTCACGCAGGCCACGGCGTGGGCAGCTGATGCGGTCACCCCGATGGTTGAGTTTGTGTGTGTGCGTGCATGATGGTGTGTGAGGGTGTGCGTTCTGATTGTGGGGGGCGGTGGAGTAGTGGTTAGCGCACTGCGCTTCCAACCCGGCTTACCGAGTTCGATTCCCGCTCAGGGCCAACACCGGTGACGAATATCTGAACCAGTCCTGGGCCTCCCCTAAGTCGACTCAGCCTCAAATGAGTACCCGGTGCGGTGTGTAAACATCGCCACTGGGGAGACAAAGGCGGCCGGGCGTTGTGCTGGCCACCTACCTCGTGTGCCGTTCCGACCTTAATAGGTGCTCGCTAACAGCACTTGCCCCAACAGTCTGTTAAGGCTATACGGGGGATCTTTGTTGTTTGTATGAATCTGTGTGTGCGATGATTGTGTCTTTGAGTTCGTGCATAGAGGCTCATCTTGGTGTGTTCACGCTTGTGTTTGGATCTATGTTAGGAGGGGAATCTTTCTGCACGTGTCTGTATGTGGGGCTGCATCTTCGTGTAAGCGAGTTCTGCTGCTGTGCATCTTCATGTTGGTTTCTGCACGTTTGTGTTTGTGTGTTGTGTGTATTGATGTCTTTATGCTTGTGTCTGTGTATTTGTTTGCCTGTGTGTAGGCGTGTATGTGTGCGTGTCCAGGGGTTTGTGGTTTTCATCTTTGTGATGGCATGTTTGTGTACGCGCGATCGCTCGTGTGTCGTGGCGTGTATACGGTATGTTTACTTGTGTGTGTGTGCGTGCGTGAGCTTGCGTCTTCATCTCGTTATCTTCATGTTTGCGCGTGTGTTTACGTCCGTGTGTCCGTGCGTGCGTTTGTGTCTTCATCTCGCCCGCCCGCACGTTAGAGCGTGCTCGCTCGCTCCCGCCCGCTCGTGTGCGAGCGCTCGTTTGCTCTCCCTCGTTCTCGCTCGCTCGCACGCACGCGCACAGACGCGCGCACAAACACGCCAGCGCGGAGGTGGGACGGCACTTGTGCACCCGTCGTAACCTGACCAACTAGCATAATGCATGCGGAATAATCCATAGCGCGGGGCGTTTAATACCCTGTGGTATTCCTCCTCCTCTGCGCCGCCGTATTGTCAAAAACAGCGAGACGTTCAAAGGGCCGCGGTGCCCAAAGCCTGATGAATTTTTCAGCGCGGACTCGGCGAGCCGGGCGTGTATCCATGACGCGCGCGCGCTCACCGAGGAGCCGCGCAACTGTTCCGTCTCTTTAAAGTGGCGGGCGCGGGCGCTCTCGTTACGCGCGGGCCGTGCCGCCGAGGCTGCGGAGAGAGAAGGGGCCTTGTTGTCTCCTTATCAGGGCCGCATATTCATACATAATAATAAGCACCTTCGAACCCGATTAATATTTTATCAGCGCGGCGGCGCTGTTAGTTTCTGCACGGCCGGTTATCGTGTGATTATTCATTTTCCCACTGCAACGCTGATGGTTGCCCTGAATATTTAATGTCCGAGGCAAGGAGCCGGCTCTCAAATAAGACTTTAACATTTCATGATTATTGTCAGTAAAGCCTGCTCTGCCCGGTTCAAAAAGCGCAGCCAGTGGAGTATATTCTAATGAAAGCACATTTGGATAAAATATTGATGTCTGGCAGAGAAGTTGTGCGTTTCAAGCCGCCGTCAGGATACTGCAGCGTGTTTAATTGATTCCGTGGAATATGTTTTTGGGCGCCGGGTGGAGCGCGTTTGAAGTGCGCGAGGATGAACCCGCTAATAAAACAGAATTTGGCGCGGTCTTCTCGGTGATCTTGCCGGGGCCGCCCACGGCTGTCACGGACAATTTTGGGGAATCGTCCGATGAACCCGGGCTGGTCGCGCCGCGCCACAAACACCGCGTCGGCGCTCGCCAGGCGCTGGCTCCCACGCCCCACTCACTCACAAAACTTTATCCCGCAGACGGGAAAAACTGTTGTCGGAAAAGTTCAGCCGTTGTACTTCTGCATGCCGTACCCGCGCAATCCCCCACCCCCTGCTCACCGCTCGCTCACCGTAACCTCACCACTTACTCGCCCATTACTCACTCACCCATTACTCACTCGCCCATCACCCTCTCACATTGCGCCGCACAGGGACAGCTGGGGGGGGGGGGGTGCCCTTTTGAGTGTATTGGAACGAGACGCGTCATGCGGCGGCTCTCTCTCGCGACGCGTTCTGTGAGGCGGGGGGGGCGGCTCCATCGTCAACAACGACAACTCCTTCTCACTCGCTCCCCCGCCGTGTACCTCGCTCCCCCCACCCCCCCCCCCAGGTGGTGCGTAGCCGCGTGCGTGAGTGGATGGAGCGGCGGCAGCCTCCGTTCGGTGCCGTGAGCAGCGTGGTGCTGCTGGCGATCATCTACAGCACGTTCTGCGACACGTTCGCCCGGCCAGACACGGCGCTCGAGCCCGCCAGCCTGCTCGCCGTCGTCACGCTGGGTCAGTCCGCGAGACTCGCCGCCCACCCACTCACTAGCTGCCTGCTACCCTGTACATCCACTCCTCGCCCACTCGCCCACTCGCCCACTCGCCCACTCGGCCACTCGGCTACTCGCCCACTCGGCCACTCGCCCACTCGCCCACTCGCCCACTCGCCCACTTGCCCACTCGCCCACTCGCCCACTCGGCCACTCGCCCACTCGGCCACTCGCCCACTCGCCCACTCACCCACTCACTAGCTGCCTGCTACCCTGTACATCCACTCCTCGCCCACTCGGCCACTCGCCCACTCGGCCACTCGCCCACTCGCCCACTCGCCCACTCGGCCACTCGGCCACTCGCCCACTCGGCCACTCGGCCACTCGCCCAGTCGCCCACTCGCCCACTCGGCCACTCGGCCACTCGGCCACTCGCCCACTTGCCCGCTCATTCACTACACACTCGCCCACACACTCACTACCTACTCACACACTCACTGCACTTGCCCTCATACTGCTCACTCATTACCCACTCGCTCAGTGGGAGCTCACCATGGTGTGAGTGACAGTGTGTGCGCGCGTGTGTGTATGCGTGTGTGCGTGCGCGCGTGCGTGCGTGTGTGTGGTTTAGCCATAGTGCGGTTAGCGCGTTGCGCTCTGAACATGGCGAGCCGAGTTCGATTCCCGCTCACGGCCAACACCAGTAACAATGATCTGAACCGGTCCTGGGCCTCCCCTAGGCACGATGTGTCAACATGGGGAGACAAAGGCGGCGGGGCATGGTGCTGGGCACCCACCCCCTCCCTCGTGTGCCGTTCTTGCCTTCAAAGTTGCCCGTGAACAGCACTTGCCCCAAAAGTTTGCTATGGCTGTATGGGGTGTCTTTGTCTTTGTGTGCGAGCGTCGTTGTTGCGCTTTTGTGACCCTGGTCCCGTCTCTCCTGCAGTCCTCCTCATCCAGCTCAGCTTCATGTTGCTCACCTTCATGATCTCCACCAGGTGTGTCCACCCCTTCCCGTCACACACACACACAGAGATCTCACGTGTAGCCTTCGAAAGACTGTGAGGGCAAGTGCTGTTAGTGAGCACCTCTGAAGGCGTGCCACCACCACGTACCAGACACGCCACACCACACGCGCCGCACATGCATCACGCCACGCCACACGCACCGCACACGCATCACGCCACGCCACACGCACCGCACACGCATCACGCCACGCCACAGCGTGTGCCGCCACACGCGACTTGTGAACGAACCACATCAACCCACTTCCCATGATTTGTGTTTCCCGATCTCCCAGACCCCGGGGCTAGGGCGCGGTGTGGCCCAGGTGTGGCGTGGTTCGGTGTGGTACAACTTGGCGCGGTATGGTGAGGCACGGTGTCGTGGTCTGCGTGACGTGCTGTGACGTGACGCGCCGTGGCGCGGTGTGGCGGGACACGGGAGTGGTGTGTCTTGGCCTAGCAATGCATGGCTTGGCTTGATGCAAGTCAGCGCGGTGCGGTGTGGTGTGGCATGCTTGACAATGTGGAGCCGGGTGGCATGGAGTAGGGTGGTGCACCCAGGTGCTCGGCTACCCAACCGCGGACCGTGATGGGCGGGGCCACGTTGACTCCGCCCCTTCCCCTCCACCCCCCCCCTCTCCCGACTACACTCCTCCCCCCAACTCTAACCCTCGCCCCCCCACAGGGACGGTTCGAGTTTCACTCCGGCCGACACGGTCGCCATCGTCTTCTGCTCGACCCACAAGTCGCTGACGCTCGGTACCTGGGGGGTGGGGGGGGGGGAGATGCTGGGGCCCGGGGCAGCTGGCGGAGGGAGTTCGGGACGCACACCCAGACACACCCATCCACGCAGACAGTCACCGTTCCCCACTAGGTGGTGGTGACGTCACCACGGCGCTTGTGCCAGGCTGCGTGCACCTTGAGGCCACTTGAATTGTGGAAGGCTCGCTGGCAAGGAGGTCACGGAACAGACCCAGGTGCCGCGGGTTGACCGACTGAAATGACTGGCAGATGCACCAAATGTGCCGGATTATCCCAGTAGCGACACATGTGTAGTGACATAAGAAGGGAGGGGCTGCTGTAGGCTCTGGGTTCCCAGGTGGGTCCAGACGCGTAATTCCCTGGGCGCCAGGCGCTGGGTTCCCAGGGGGTCCAGACGCTTAAGCCTCTGGGCGCCGCCAACGGGGGGGGCTGTGTGTGCTCTGTGGGATGTCTGGTGGCGCACACGGCCCCACCCCTCGTTGGGGACTGGGCATATAAGCGGAGCTCCCTGGACGATCGGGGCCCAGTTGTAACCCAAGACCCAAGACCCACGACCAGCCATCTGAAGACCCTGGGATGCTGCGAGAGCCAGCGCTGGGACTCTGGAACTCCCGACGCTACGACCTTGTGAGGGCGAGTCCAGAGCGTAGCCAGAGTAGAGTATCTAGTGTATCTAGGCTGTGTAGCTAGGCTGTGTACCTAGGCTGTAACAGAGTATCAGGACTGTTGGAGTGTTGTATTGTAATAAAGAAGTTACATCTACAAGTGTCTCCGGAACCCGTTACATTTGGTGTTAGAAGTGGCTATGGAGACAAGAAGTAAGCCACGTACCTTCAGTCCTGACGGCGATGAAGAGGAGCAGGCAGCGATGGGGCAGCCAACGCCGGCCGACAGCGACCCGTTACACATGTAGCTACGGGCCCCGCACTTCAAGGGCCCCGCTCCAAATGCTTTCAAGCTATACATTCCGATTCGGTGATTCTTCACTTGCTCTGTTACTATAGAACTATACTGCCTTTTATGAACGACTGGATTTGTCGTATTATCTGGCTGTATAGCGATTGAAAAACAATGACTTTACTGTGCAAGTTGAAAAGTGTGTTTTAATATTAATTTGTTATTTATTTATTTAGGGCCCCTTTATAACATTTGCTACAGGCCCTGCACTAGCCTCAACCGGCACTGCCCCACAATACCAACTCGCTGTGTTTAATCCACCGGCGTGACCCCGCGTGAGCGTGACCCCGCGTGAGCGTGACCCCGCGAGCGTGACCCCGCGTGAGCGTGACCCCGCGAGCGTGACCCCGCGTGAGCGTGACCCCGCATGAGCGTGACCCCGCGTGAGCGTGACCCCGCGTGAGCGTGACCCTGCGAGCGTGACCCCGCGTGCGCGTGACCCCGCGTGCACGTGACCCCGCGAGCGTGACCCCGGGAGCGTGACCCCGCGTGCGCGTGACCCCGCGTGCGCGTGACCCCGCGAGCATGACCCCGCGAGCGTTACCCCGCATGAGCGTGACCCCGCGTGAGCGTGACCGAGCGTGCGCGTGACCCCAGGAGCCTGACCCAACGTGAGCGTGACCCCGCACGAGCGTGACTGAGCGTACATGTGCCCCCGTGCGTTGCCCCCAGGTGTGCCCATGCTGAAGATCGTGTTTGCGGGGATGCCGCAGCTTTCGCTGCTCACCGTGCCGCTGCTCGTCTACCACCCGACGCAGATCCTGCTGGGCGGCCTGCTCGTTGGCACCCTGCGCCCCTGGATGCTGTCACGGCAGCGGGTACGTGGGGTCGGGGGTCGGGGGTCGGGGGTCGCTGCTGGGGGGCTGTGTGGGGTTCAGCAGAGGATGACTCGGCTTGTTGACCCCCAGGGTGGCAGGGTGTGGATGAGGCTGGGGAGCGGTAGCGTAGCACGGCCAACACCGGTGACGATTATCTGAACTGGTCCTGGGTCTCCCCTAGGTCCACTCAGCCTCAGATTAGTACCTGGTGCGGTGTGTAAACATCACCACTGGGGAGACAAAGGGGGCTGGGGGTGATGATGGCCACCCATCACCCCCTCGTGTGCCATGCCACCTTCATAGGTGCTCGCTAACAGCACTTGCCTCAACAGTCTGTTCAGGCTCTCACACACACACAGACTCCCACACTCGCTCACACACAGACACTCACACTCGCACACACACACACAGACACTCACACTCGCTCACACACACACAGACTCTCACACTCGCTCACACACACACAGACTCAAACACTCGCTCACACACACACAGACACTCACACTCACTCACTCACACACAGACTCCCACACTCGTTCACACCCACACAGACTCACACACTCGCTCACACACACACAGACACTCACACTCGCTCACACACACACGGACCCTCACACTTGCTCATACACACACAGACTCACACACACAGACTCACACATTCGCTCACACTCACACAGACTCTCACACTCGCTCACACTTACACACTCGCTCATACACTCGCTCACACACACACAGACTCTCACACTCGCTCGCACTCACACAGACTCACACACTCGCTCACACACACACAGACACTCACACTCGCTCACACACACACAGACTCACACATTCGCTCACACTCACACAGACACTCACACTCGCTCACACTCACACACTCGCTCACACACACACAGACTCTCACACTCGCTCACACTCACACAGACTCACACACTCGCTCACACACACACTCGCTCACACACACACAGACACTCACACTCGCTCACACACACACATACAGACTCACACATTCGCTCACACTCACACAGACTCTCACACTCGCTCACACTCACACACTCGCTCACACACACACAGACTCTCACACTCGCTCACACACACACGGGCACTCATACTCGCTCACACACACACAGACTCTCACACTCACACACACACACAGACTCTCACACTCGCTCACACACACACGGACACTCACACTCGCTCACACACACACAGACTCTCACACTATCACACAGACACTCACACTCGCTCACACACACACACACACAGACTCACACATTCTCTCACACTCACGCAGACTCTCACACTCGCCCACACACACACAGACTCTCACACTCTCACACAGACTCTCACACTCGCTCACACACACAGACACTCACACTCGCTCACACACACACACACAGACTCACACAATCTCTCACACTCACGCAGACTCTCACACTCGCTCACACTCACACACTCGCTCACACACACACAGACCCTCACACTCGCTCACACACACACAGACTCTCACACTCACACACACACACACGGACTTTCACACTCTCACACACACACGGACACTCACACTCGCCCACACACACACAGACTCTCAGACTCTCACACTCTCACACACACACGGACACTCACAGTCGCCCACACACACACAGACTCTCACACTCTCACATAGACTCTCACACGCTCACACACACACACGGACCCTCACACTCGCTCCGCTCGCCCACGGCGGAGGAAACTGAATGGCCCTCCAGACGGGGTGGCAGCGTGAGAGCGTCTCCCGCGCGGAGCCTCGTCCCTCGCCGGTGAGCGCGGGCGGCGTTGCCCCCCGGCGCCCGATACAAATCAAGTTTCCCCGCACTGACTCTCACTCTCTCACTCACTCACTCTCTCGCGAGTGCCGGGCGGGGGGCGGGGGGTGGGGGTAGGTGGGCGTTGGGGGGGGGGTCACGGGCACTATCGTACGGGGCCCCCCCCCACCGCCTCTGGCCGCGCTCCAGCCCCCCCCCCCCCCCCCCCATGCATTAATGATGACGCCGGCAAATATATTAACGGCGTCTCGGGTAATTTGACATTCCGTTTGGAGTGCCCCGCGTCGGCGCGCGAGCACACGCGCTGACCGGTGTTAAACGAGGGAGGCGGGGGCACGGCGGCACCCACGCCTCCCCTGTAGGGGGCAGGCTGCCCTCTCTCCCTCCCGCCTAGGGGTAGCTGCCCCTCCTGCCCCTGTGCCCCCCTTCCTTCGACTCGCTCGGGGCGGCCACCGGTTCCGCCGCGGACAGACGTGGGAACGCCGGCGTGGCGATCGCGCGTCCTGATCTCTGAAGTGGGGATCGCTTTACGGTCCCTTTTCGGCTCAACGGATGACGGAATTCGTCGGCCGACGTTTACGTTGGAAACCCGTCACGGGTTTGGGCTCCCCGCGCTCATCGGCGTGCCGGGGCCGGTTGCGCTGCCGCCAGCTTTTCAAGGGGTTCAGGTCGGTTCCGTGCGACCAGGTGGGGACTCGCGAGAGAGACCGCGAGTGTCACTTGCGAGAGCGACCTGTTGTCACAGAGTGAAAGCAAAACAAATAATTACATTTGAGAGCGGCGAAGCAAATCGAAATCGGAAACGAGAACAAGCCGTCACTCGAGATACCAAAAATATCGGCAAAGTGTGACCGACATTGGCGATAGCTGTGTGTACGGCGCGAAAGCAGTTCAACACACATACACACGATAGCTTGTGCAACAGCTGTGTACAATAGCTGTGAACGCGCACACGCTACTGCATATGCGTACACGCACGATTGTGTGTGTGCGTGGGGAGCGGTAGTGTAGATTTTAGTGCACTGCGCCATGAACCTGACGAATATCTGACCAGTCAAAGGCCACCCCTAAGTTGCATCAGGCTCAAATGAGAAACTAGTACGATGTGTAAACATCGCCACTAGGGAGACAAAGGCAGCCAGGCGTGGTGCTTGCCACCCACCCCCTCGTGTGCCATGCCGGCCTTCATAGGTGCTCGCTAACGGCACTTACCCTAACAGTGTTAAGGCTATACGGGTGACCTTTGGTGTCTCTGTGTGTGCTGCGGTGGATGTGTGCATGCGAGTGTATGCATGGTGTATGTGAGCGTGCGGTTGATGTGCGTGTGTGCGCGTCCCCCACCCCACCCCTCTCTTTATCGCACGCGCGCCGCCGGACAGGAGAAAGTTTACTTTCCGCGCATCCCATGGGCGCGACCCGGGGAGCGTGCGTGGGACGGACCGAGACCCCCCCCCCCCCCCCTTGGGGAAATCCGGAAACCCACTTTAGACGACAGAAATCTCCAGGCCGCGAAGGAGCCGCGTGTTTGGCCGCGACTCGGGGCTGTGTTTGTAGAAGCGCGATGTATAATTCAGCGTTTTCATTTGCTCCGCGTCGCGGCCGCGGTCTCCGCGTCTGGTCGCATCTCATCACTCGCCATTCACGACTAATGCCTCGCGAGGCCTGAATCTTTTATGGACGCCACCAAATTCCCACGGCTGAGCAGGGAGGAGGAGGCGGACCGAGTGCGCACGCGCTCCCTGTCTGGTCCCCCCTTACCGCTTGCCGCGCGGAAAGGGATCCCAGATGCAGAAAAGGGGTCGGCGGGGGAATTCTAATCACGAATCCAAGAGGGGGGGGGAGTGGGGTCACCTTGGGGCAGGGGTGAGGGGGGCGGCTTTGATAACGGCGCGCGCTGCGGCCTCCGTAAAATCTCGGGACGGTGACGTGGGTCAGGTGGTCTTGGGTTTGGTAGTGAGGTCATGGGGGGGGGGCGGGGGGGGGGGAGCGCCACGGTGGCGAGATGTTGACGACCTCGTCCGGTATGCAGCAAGTTCGTGGGTTCGATCCCAACCCTGACGCCTTCTATTGTGTGGAGTTTGCGTGTTCTCCCCGTGGTCGCGTGGATTTTTCTCCGGTTCCTCAGCTTTTATCCATCCACATTTAGAGTATTTGGCTGCTGTACATTTCCACGCGAGAATCCACTTGGTTGAGCTATCATTTGTGGCCCTGGTCGCTTCCGAAAAAGAGTTACATAGCTCAGTGGGCCTTACATGGTCCAGCAACAACAAAAAGTTTACTTTAATGTGAATGGTGGTGGGGTCGTGGCTTCGGTCGTGAGATCGCATCTCAAATACGGAGGACACACACGAGTGTCACTGTACTGTTGGTGTCGTGTTTTTTTACGAAACTGTGTCCTCCACTTTCCGTTCATCACCATGAATGCGTACGATGCCTCCTCGCTCATTAGCATAACGAGGCACTTTCCTGCGTACACAACGAGCAGCACACGCGGCCTTCTGGGACGATGTGCAGTGGGACGACTCCACGCTCACCACTCAACCCACACCACACTCGTCACCGCACACTCACCAACCACTCGCGCGACACTCCCAATCACCACCTCGCACCCTTCGCCCCGCACTCAACACTCACCCAACACTCACCATTCACACCACACCGCTCACCAACCACTCACCCTACACCACTCACCACTCGCCCTTTACACTCCTCACCACACACCTGATACAACACTCGCCACTCGCCCTCTTCCTGCGCTCAATCTACCCCCTTCAACTCACGCGCCACGCACTCTCCACGCGCCTCCTCACCCCACACTCGCCCGCACTCTTCACCACTCCTAACTGCTCCTTACCACTCCTCACCCCACACTCGCCCGCACTCCTCACCACTCCTCGCCCCGCAGCTGCCGCCGCCGCTGCCCCGGGGCCGTGCGGCTGCGCTAGCGTCTCGTAGCCCGAGGCGGCCGCATGCCTCCGCTTTGTGATTGTAATGAGCGCGGCGGTGACGACGGCGGCCGCCGTTGCCGCCGCCGTCGTCGCAACGGTCGTCTCGACGAGCATCAAAGGCGAAGCCGTGTTTGTGTGTTTGTATGTTGGTATGTTGTGTTTGTCTCGGGTGAAGTTTCACGCCGGGAACACAGAATCGCGCGCATCAATATGCAGCAGCCGCGCGGCGGTGCTGCGTGCCGGCTGTGGGTCGTTCTTCACGATGGATCCTCTGATCACAGTCATTAAGGACCTTCATGATGGTGGGCAGGCTTGGGAAAAAGCCACGCGGCCGGGAGACGGAGCCATTTCCTATTCACCTTGGGGGTGTGCGTGACAGGGATGTCCTCTGGCCCATTTAACTTCACAGGCGCTCCGCAGGGAGCACCTCCACGAAGTCACTGTTGTGGCTTTATTATTTACGATGCTTGTTCACGCGGGAAGCCCCACCGAGTCTCATGAATCTTCTTCAGGAGGATCCTGTCAAGTTTAACCAGGCTGGATTAGTGTGAGCTCGCAGATCTTTGAAAGATCTGGACACGCTCCCATTGGGTGAGCTCCTCCGGCAGGCGAGGCCACGTTGCCTGCGTGCCCAGCATTTGCTGCCAACAGTCGGAATTGTCGACAGAGGGGGTTGTCGTTCTCATGAGTGACCACCGTGTCTGCATCTTCCCGCAGGGCCAGTCTCTGCGGCTACCCAGGCTGCTCCCGTGACGGTGCCACGGAGGCTCCGGTAGTGCCAGGCCGCGTTTTGGCCTGCGCCCGTTGCCATCTCCGCTTGCCGGTGGCGCAAACACACGAGAGGGACTCGTGGGCGATGCCACTGCGGCTCCTCCCGTCCTCCAATGTGACTTTGGCACCAGCTCTGCTCTCCTGCTGAGCGGGTGGCACGGAGTTTGGGGGCAGGGCCCCGTGACCAGGGCCCCGTGACCAGGGCCCCGTGACCAGGGCCCCGTGACCAGGGCCTGGTGACCCACGCCTCACAAACACCGCACGCACGTGAGGGCGAGAGCAACCCCATTGTGGTGAAGGTGTGGACTTTTGGTGGTGTTGGTGGTCTGGGTTTCGTAGCTGTACCTTGGCCGTTATGGGTGTTATTTGAAGGTTGTTTTACCCGTGGTCGTTATGCAGGGAGGTGGATGACTCGGAGACGAGAATGCGATTAAACCGACACGGAGAGAGGTTTCCTTGACCCTGCGAATCACTCATTACCAGGGTCTTGTCATCCGGGGTGGGCCGGGAAGGGAATAGATACGTGGTTAGAGCGTTTTTCGTGTTGGAGTGGTTTAGCCTTCAGAGCCATCTCTCATCCCAAAAATCACTCCCACCACCACACCCCCCAACTTCACCACCACTCGCATCACTCCAAATCCATGGCTCCCCCCAACTTCACCACCACTCGCATCACTCCCCCCAACTGCACCACCACTCACACCCATCACTTCCCTGACTGCACCACAGCGGCGCGGCTCCAAGACGCGTCTCCCGTTACCACCCTGAGAGCTGTAAATGTGGTAATGGGGGCGACGTCCGCTGCCCTGCGCTTGCGAGGGGGGCCCCGGCGACCCCGCAAATCAGGTTACCGTGGGGTAACCACATTACTCCCGGGCGCGACAATTGACACCACTCACACCCTGCCCATGTGTTACGCATACAGAAGACCGTATAGCCTTAGCAGACTTGGGGCAAGTGCTGTTAGCAAGCACCAAGGCCGGAAGAAGAGTTGGGTGGTCAGCACCACACCCGGCCAGCATATACTCGTGATAAATTCGGACAAACTCGGGTTTGTTTCGCAGTCCGCCAGCAACGACACCAACACCCACCCACTTTGTCTTAGCACAAATATCCCGTCTCGCCATTACAGACTGAAGAAAGTGCTTTTAGCGAGCACCTTAAAGGCCGGCATGGCACACGAGGTGGTGGGTGGCCAGCCTTTTGTCTCCCCAATGGCAATGTTTACACACCGCACCAGGTACTCATTTTAGGCAGAGTCAACCTAGGGGAGGCCAATGACCGGTTCAGATAATCGTCACCGGTGTTGAGCGGGAAACGAACTCTGGTCGCCGGGTTTGTAGCACACTTGTACACACACTCATACACATGTACACAGAGCCCATGTGAAAAATGCCTTGACACTTGGTAAAAGTTCTTTTGGAAAAACTTGGGGGAGTTCAATCGGAATGGTTTCATTTGCTTTGTCCAATTTCACTTCCAATCGAAGGTGTTTACATTTTAGTTTTTTTTTTAATTCCAGCTCATTTAGGATTTCACTTGATATTCTTTTTTTTTCTTTTTCCCCCCAAAACCATTCCACATTTTATTTCCTTTCAATGCCAAAAACAAAATCAACGAGAGTAAAAATTCACAACGATGCCGCCGCCACCGTGCGGACGCAGGGCGGCGAGCGAAGGGGAAGGTGGGCCGGGGGTGGGTGGGGGGGGTGGAATCCGACGCAAGTTTCGGCTCGAGCCGGTCGACTTCACCGGCCGTCCACAGCGAGCGCGCAGTACACGGGGAGGGCAGCCACCCGGATACGGGGGCACGGGGGGCAGGGGGGGGGTTGTGAGCGCGGGCATTTCGGCCGTGTCGCGTGACGGCGCTGCTGGAGCTGCCGCTGCCGCCACCCCCCCCCCCTCGTGGCGCCGCATCCGTCCCGCGTGTAAAGCAATTGAGACAATCAAAACGACACAAAAAAATATACGCCACCATGTCCTAGTCATAAAATACTAAGCATAAAAACTATGACCTGTCCAAATGCATACCGTGACTATAACACAGCGCGCAAGATTCATATTTTTTACAAACTAAGAGTTATATTACAAGTTGTTTAAATCCAATTTTAGAGATCTGTGTACAGCTCGTAACATCTTATCTAACCCGAGCGAACATCCCTCCGCTCTGCTCGCTGCCAAATTACCGTAAATATAGCAATATCAAAACAACAACGCGGCCGCCTGACAATCCCGATCGCTTCCAAGCCACGGGTCAAATTGAACGCAGGCAGACGGCCGTCGGCGGGGTGGGGGTCCCCAGCCAGAGGGGGCGGGCCGTGGTGACGAGGTCGTGACGAGGTCGTGACGAGGTCGCTATCGCCTCCAGGAGCGCGACTCGTCCTCTTCCTCCTCCTCGTCATCGTCCTGCAGCAGCGTGTCGTCGGTGGCCTCACCCTCCTGGCGCACACGCACGGTCACACGCACCGTCACACGCAAGGTCAAGGTCACACGCAAGGTCAAGGTCACAGTGACACACACGGTCAGTCACAGTCACAGTCACACATACGGTTACACGTATGCAGATACACACACGGGGTTACACACACCATACACGATTCCACAGATGTTTACGCTCATACGTGCACACGCAGTTACGCACGCACGTACAGACGCTAAAGCAGACGGTTACACACTCAATAGGCTCATGGTTGTGCCGAGCCAGGCGCCTGGCACGAGAGCCCACGATGCGTCCCTAACCGCGTCGCTCGCAGCAGCGCCACCACACGCTCCGCCACGACCGCCTCTCATCGCAGCAGCGCCACCATACGCTCCGTGACGACTGCCTCTAGCAGCAGCGCCACCACACGCTCCGCCACGACCGTCTCGTACCTCCTCCTCCTCCACGTCCTCGTCCTCGGGTTCCGCCGACGTGGACGCCATCTTTGGCTTGTGCCAGGAGAGCACGAGGTCTCGGCCTTTAAAGCGCGCGCCCTGTGTCGCGGCCTGAGACAGCACGCGCACAGCGGGAGACGCGGACGGGGAGACACGGAGAGAAGGACACGGGGGGTCATCGACTTGCAGGGAATTCGCGAGTGGAAACGCGGACTTGACGATCAGTGCGAGACCCAAGAGAGAGCCCTCTCGGACACTGGGCAAGCGACGTCAGACTCGCTTCTGGAATGCCACGATGTAAGACTCTCTAACGTGCTTTGCTCATGTTGCATCGAGGATAACGACAGACAAAAGACAAACGATACTCTTTGCTTCTTTCGGTAAAGTCACGTAGGTATAAAATAAATCACGACGTTTCGATCGCAACACAAGCGGTCATCCTCAGGCGAAAAAAATATAATCCAGCAGTTAAACTGCTACGCGACTTTACCTTAACCAAAGAGTATGGATTCCTGCAGTCACGAAAGCTTCAAATGAAGATTAAAAGACCAACGAGACAAAAAAACGAGGCGAGAAATAATTGATTGCTAAATTGAAACGTGACACCTGAATCGCGACACTTGGAATCGCCAAGTGAATCGATCCAGGCCTCGTACAACGCGTGCCCCGTGTGGCCAACACCGGCCTTCCCGTTTACCGATGAAAACGGATGCGCGAGCGAGCGACCGGCGCCGGCAGCACGGGGAAGCGCCGGGGCCTTGCAGGCAACGCTGGAGTCTCGCGCGGGGAGAGGGCGACACTCACGTGCTCAGCCTCCAGTCGCGTCTTGAAGGTGACGACGGCCGACGAGGACCCCTCTTCGCTGCGGAAATCCTCCACCTCCCCTAGACTCTACTCACGCCCACACGACCAAAGCACCATGTCACTGTTGCTCTTGCACGCAGATTGCACACGCACGCACATATACACACGCACGTGCTAAAATCGCCGATGCATAAAAGGTGGTCGGGCGTGGTGCTGGCCATCCACCGCCTCGTGTGCCATGCCAGCCTGCATGGGTGCTCGCGAACAGCACTTGCTGCGAGAGTCTTAAGGCTGTACACCTGCAATGCACCTCGTCTCATCAGGTCTCGTGACCCAAACAGGTTTGAGCCTCGACAAATGGCTGTGCAGTGCGTGGCAGAGGGCAGTGCAGCAAAATCCAGTTGTACTCTACTTTGAACTCCCACATCTATGCTCCCCACCGCTTTTTATCAACCTGAAGGGTGGAGTGAAGCCATCATTCAGCAGCAAAGGGGCTGTGCGTGAACACGCAGATGTACGCACAAGCACGCGTACACAACACACCCATGAGTAAACACGCGACGCACCTTGAAGTGCAGCAGGACGTCGTCCTTGTCCTCGGCGGCGAGGCCGCACACCTGCAGCGCACGCGGCCGGTAATCCAGCGCCGTGTGCGACATCAGCGGGTGACGGCCGCCCCGTGAGCCCCGGTAACCACCCCGGCCGCCCCGACCCCGCGACCCCCGCCCCCTCCCGGAGGAGCCTGGACCCCCCCGCCCGCCGCGGCCTCCGGCTCCCAGGATGCCCAAGTGAGCGGCCTGCACACGCGAACACAGGGGCGCACCGCTTAAGACGTCGGCGCTGAAACGTGCGATGACCGACGTTACGGTGCCTGTGCCAGGCTAGGTGCACGCACGCACACAGCCAAGCTCCGTAGCGTTGGACGCAAACTGCGGGAAAACAAACCGGAAAAGTCGCGACACAGGAAAACGCGAGCGAAGGCTGTAAACGGAGAGGAACGGCACGGCGACTCTCATGGAGCCGGCGTCCAGCAGCGTGACGAGCGGTGGTGATGGGAAGGGGGTGGTGGCGATGGGAAGGCGGTGGTGGCGATGGGAAGGCGGTGGTGGCGATGGGAAGGGGGTGGTGGTGATGGGAAGGCGGTGGTGGCGATGGGAAGGCGGTGGTGGCGATGGGAAGGGGGTGGTGGTGATGGGAAGGCGGTGGTGGCGATGGGAAGGCGGTGGTGGCGATGGGAAGGCGGTGGTGGCGATGGGAAGGCGATGGTGGCGATGGGAAGGCGGTGGTGGCGATGGGAAGGGGGTGGTGGCGATGGGAAGGCGGTGGTGGCGATGGGAAGGCGGTGGTGGCGATGGGAAGGGGGTGGTGGTGATGGGAAGGCGGTGGTGGCGATGGGAAGGCGGTGGTGGCGATGGGAAGGCGGTGGTGGCGATGGGAAGGGGGTGGTGGTGATGGGAAGGCGGTGGTGGCGATGGGAAGGCGGTGGTGGCGATGGGAAGGCGGTGGTGGCGATGGGAAGGGGGTGGTGGTGATGGGAAGGCGGTGGTGGCGATGGGAAGGCGGTGGTGGCGATGGGAAGGCGGTGGTGGCGATGGGAAGGCGATGGTGGCGATGGGAAGGCGGTGGTGGTGCTGGGAGGGGGGGGGTGGCGATGGGAAGGCGGTGGTGGCGATGGGAAGGCGGTGGTGGCGATGGGAAGGGGGTGGTGGTGATGGGAAGGCGGTGGTGGCGATGGGAAGGCGGTGGTGGCGATGGGAAGGCGGTGGTGGCGATGGGAAGGCGGTGGTGGCGATGGGAAGGCGGTGGTGGTGATGGGAAGGCGGTGGTGGCGATGGGAATGCGGTGGTGGCGATGGGAAGGCGGTGGGTGGTCAGGGGACGGCGGTTTGGGCCGGGGAGGGGCGGCACCTCAAACTGCAGCGTGTAGAGCCTCTTGCGCAGGTCGGACACGTCCTCGCCCGCCTGCATCTTGTTGTGCAGGTCCAGCTCCATGTCGAGCAGCTCCTTCTGGGCCTGGCAGCACAGAGAGCGGCCGCCTTAACCGACCCGTAAAACTAAGAGCTCCATGAACTTAAGAGGCAGGGGGAGGGCCCTCATCCAGCAGCGGAGAGACAAGTACCGTCAATGTGAACACTCAGCGATGACCTCCAAGCCACATCGGGCGCAAAGGGCGGCGCAGTTTCCCTCCCCTCAGCCATCCGTGCTGTAGGCTCCCTGCCAAGTCGAGGCTCAAGTCCTTTGTTTTTACTGATCGTGTGTCTGCCTCTGCAATAAATAACTACGCCAAACCGCTTCTTCCACACAGCATCTCGAGATGTGGTCACGTTGAGACGATCTAATTCTGCATTTGCCTTGCATAGACTTGGACAGAGATACAGACTGGCATAAATGCCCAAAGGCTCAGAGACCCAGAGAGTCCCCTAACACGTATGTACTCTATGTTGAACTTCTTACACTGTCCATTGCCAACCGTGCTAATCGGTTGACTACAACGGAACCATCAGCCTCACAGAGACACCCGAGGAATCGCAGAGACATTTGACCATCTCTCTCTCTCTCCAAATAAACTCCCGTTTCTTCTCAACAGCACCCGCGAGACTCCGCCACACCTCCCGGACGCGAACCCACGACGCGTTGCTACCGCGTCGACGGCACGCAAGCCCGGGGGGGCAGCGGCGCCGCCGCTCTCCGCACCTCGGACTTGGAGCGGCGGCGCGTGGCGACCGGCGCGGGGGCCCCGGCGGGGGCGGCGGTCTTCAGCTCGTCCTGCAGGCGCGAGATGTTCTGCGACAGTTCCTTGAGCGTGCGCATGATCTCGGTGTCCTCCTCCCCCTTGGAGGCCTTGCTCTTCTCCAGCTTGGAGATCAGCATCTGCGGGACACCGCCAATGGACACGAGCGTCACGAGCGGCGACGGCGGCACCAACATCCGCATCCGCGCGCGCGTGGCCGTAGCGTCGGGAAAGCACAAACACGCTGGTTAAAAATGTTCCCAGGAAATCCCCACCGAGTCTCAAGGCTGTTGCTCAGGAGGGCATTGACAAGTTATTTTCAGAATGGGGCGATGGTGCTGCTGCTGTGTGAACCCAGTTGAGTAATTTTCAGGTCGTTTTTGAGCATTGGGATGTTTGGCCAATACGGTGTGTGTGTGTTATAGCTTTGGGAGGAAACCAGAGAAACCCAGAGGGAACCCATGCAGAACAGGGGGAGAGAACACACCAACTCCACACAGAGGGGTTACCCAAGTCGGGAATCAAACCAAGGTCCTGAACCGCGGTTAACGCTCAGGTCGTCTAAGTGTTTGACTAAACCCCCCACCCTGGCTGAGAACAATAAATGTATAAATCACCTGGATAATTTCTCGGGATGAAACTTCTAATTTGCAAGGGTGCCCAAGTGACACAAGAGTCAGGCCGTCTTTCCCAGGGTTTATTGCGACCTCGTTCAAATGGCACTCACCGCTAACGGACACCTCCAACCACTATGATGGCTTGGAGTTTGGAACAATGACCCCAACTGAATGGGGGGGGGGGGGGGGGGGTCGATCAACGGATAGCATCCTGACCCCGGCGTCACAGTTCGACAGCAGTCCTGCACCGCACCTTCTGTGTCTCGATCTGCTTCTCCAGGATCTCTTGCTTCATCTTCCTCATGTCCTGCTGCATCTTTATCGCCTCCTGCTGCGAGACGCGACAAACGGCACAATCACTCCGCGGTTTCCACCCAACGAGGGCTCCGTGCCGAACCGCACCGGAGCATTGCACGGCAGATGCGGCCGTCCCCTCCGCCGCCGCCGGGGGACCATTCGGAATCACAACAGCGCGACTGCGTTCACCAAACCGCGGACCACACAGCAACACCGTTGCCCACTTTCATTGTGCTCCGCCGGCGTTTCAGGCGTTCGCCCGCCAACGTCGGCATCAACGCATCGACAGATAAACGGCGCTTGCCGGTTCCCCGGGTATTGGCGGCACCACCACGGGCGTGAGCCCACCTGCTTCTTGCGCATCGCCTCCTTGTTCTCCAGCGCCTTCTGGGCCGAGTGCGAGGAGGAGGAGCGCTGGGCGGCGCGCAGGACGGCCACGTTGTACACCGTCTTGGTGAGTCCCACCGTGGTGGAGAGGACCTGCACGGGGTGGGCGGGGGGGAGACGGGGAGGACGGGCACACGGACCGTCAGGGCCACGACCGCCGCGACCGTCACGACCGCCGTGACCGCTCACCTCCAGCTGCACGTGCGACGCAAACATGCGGAGACACGGCCGGACCATCGGTGGCCTCCCGGTTCGTGGCGTGCGGCCTCCCCCTCGCCTACGCATGTCAGCTGCACGTTTAAGAATCAAAGCGCTTTCATCAATACCAAAGCAGAGCCCAAGGCCGACAGCTGTGGATGCTGGTTTTATGATTCGTCCACGGCACAGCTCCCACCGATAGCGACCAGCGCGAGCACCGCGAAAGGCGACGGGGCCCCAACTGATCACACAGGCTCCACGTCAACGCTGCACAAGCCAGGATCACTCCGCAGTCAATATCACCCAGGCCCCAGAGTGCTCCGATTCTCACGATTCGGGGTCACGAGTTTGTCTGGTTTGCACAAGTGCTATTGTCTTGTTCTTATGGGTGAGCTGACTCTGTTACCCCGAGCAGAAGATTGGCGCCATCATTTGTTGAATTTTCATGAATAGTCAATAATCGATGCGCGCGTGCACAATTTGACGCGGGTGTCACGAGCATCAGAATGAATTTCATCGGCGAGTCGACAAATCGTCACACGCCCGATCGACTGTCATTCGCACGTGTGCTCTTGGATGACAGGCCATGGGCCAGAGCACACATCAGCGCCACCAAAGGTAGCAAAACCGTGTAGCACCGATTTATTTACACGACCAACGAGAGTGGATTTCTTGGTAACCCCACTAATTTCATCTGGCAATCAAATAATTCACAGCTACTGGTCATACAAAGAAACTGAAAGCACTCAAGTGCCACCGCCTAAAGTAGAAGTGACGAGTAATAGGTTTTTACCCTTTCAACTGGTACAAAAACTGACACCCTTATACAAGGGATCATGTACGCCTTTTGGCGTCATCTGGTCCAACACCAATGGAGACTAGGCTCTAAGAAAAGGTGTCTCGGGTATGGACCAATCAACTTCAATGACAGTGCATATTATTATCAGAGTTGTTTCTTTTTGTTTGCATTTTGACTGCTTGTGTTGTGGTTATTACAAATATGATCCCTTGTATAAAGGTGTCAGTTTTTGTACCAGTTGAAAGGGTAAAAACCTATTACTATATTTTGTCACTGGTAAAGGAGGTCTCATAGTGGAAGTGACGAGTTAAATGTCTGGTCCAAGCTCGCCCCGAGGCCGCAACGGATCACATTAGCAGCACCAGCACTAGCAGCACTGTGCTCCCAGCAAACACGGACTCCAACCCCTCCTCCACTTCCCCGTCACCTCAAACTATAGGAGCGTCACGTCGAGGGAAGCAGGGGCGGAAGGTGGGGGGGGGGTATCGCGGTATGGAGCTGGAGGAGGAAGAGGAGGGAGCCGACCCCTTACCTTCCCGGCTGTGAGGGGCGGCTCATTCCGCGCGGGGGGAAATCCCAGCCGCTCCCGCACGGGAGGCTTAGCTCCAGCCTTGCGTGGCCACGACAGACGCACACACAGCGGAGAGCAGATTCACTACGTGGCTCGCGGCCTCCCAACGAGTCACCCACACAGTCGCCCAGTCACTCGCAGTCATTCACACGCAGCAAGAGTTGCACTCACAGCGTCGCCTGGTCACCCCCATACCGTCACTTACCGAGTCGCTCACGCACAGTCGCTCACAAGTCTACGCCGGAGGCACAGCGTTCACACGGCTGGCAGTGGCCGTGCCACGCCGGCGCCCCCCTCTGGCAGCGTGCGGGGAGGGATCGCAAACCCCACCACTAACTCCTGCTCACTCCACGAAGGACCTCAACGGGCGTGGAGGGACTGGAGCCCTCATCGCGAGCGCAGGCCGCACGGGGTCACAGCGCTGCCCTCACCTTCTCACAAACCCTGGCGGCCGCCTGCACTTAACGCGGAATCGGCACGCGGGCGCCGGTGCGCGGGCCGTACCTGCGCGCTGCCGTCGGGAGACTCGCTGGGCTGCGGCTGCGGCGGCGGCGGCTCCCCGCCCGCCACTGGGCCCAGCCGCTCCTTCACCGACGGCTTTCCCGGCACAAAGCCACACGCCTGCCCCATCGGAACCTGCGGGGCAAGGGGGAAGACGCGCTCGGGTCAGCGGCGACGTCCCAGGGACGGGAGGAACGCACGGCGGGGGGAACGCGACTGGTGGGCGCGCTCACCTGTGTCGGGATTCCGCCGCCCATCGGCGGGAGTTGCGGTGGCGGGGCGCCGGGGCCCATCTGGCCGTTGGCGTCGCGGTGCCAGTAGACGCGGATGAAGCGGTTGTTGAGCACGGCCTCGGTGCTGGAGATGGCGCGGCGCGCCTGGTCGTGGTTTGAGAACTGCACCAGCGCCCCCTCGGGGTCGCCGCCAAACGCCACCTGAGACGGCCAAAGTGTCAGGACCCTCGCGCAGGCCGCAAGCGGCGCCGCCCGGTGCCGCTCGGTGCCGCGCCGCCACGATACCGCACCGCAACACCACACCGCCACTCCACGACAATGCCCGGTCGCAACCCGGTGGTAGCGCGTTCGCCGCTCGGCATCATTCAAAACGACCGGACGGTCACGGTGCGCTGGGGTCATCGTCCAAATTTTTTTAAATGACACTGCAAATTACTCAATTGGGATTACACGCGGCAACATCACCCCTACCGCTGTGCGTCTACGAAACAAAACAGCGCCTCCCCCCGTAACAGTCGCCGACACCAAACGTACTCAATTGTCACTATCACTCCGGCGCAGGAGAATGTGTTCGGCAGACGTCGTCCCCATCTCCCTCCTCTCTCCAAAAACCCCTCCTCCCTGTGCCAAACAAAAGCACGGGGAAATCGTACGACCGTCGGCAAAGCCTTGGCGACAATCCCCACGCTGGCCGAAGCCCCCCCCCTCTCCCCACCTGGATATTGACGATGGTCCCAAACTTGCAGAAATGGTCGTTGAGCTTGGTGATGTTGTTGAGCTCCTTGGGCACCTTGCGGATCTCCAGCCGCGTGCTGTCGTACTGCTTCCGAGCAAACGGCGGCTTGCCCTGGCTGTTGTACGGCGGTCTGTTACTGCGCACACACAGATCCCCCCCCCCATGTAGCTTTAACAAGACTGTTGGGACAAGTGCTGTTCGCAAGCACCTATGAAGGCCGGCATAGCACACAAGGTCGATGGGTGGTCGGCACCACGCCCGGCCGCCTTTGTCTCCCCGAGTGCAGATGTTTACACACCATACTAGGAACTCATTTGAGGCTAAGTCAACCGAGGGGAAGGCCCAGGACCGGTTCATATTAATCGTCACCGGTGTTGGCCATGAGCAGAAATCAAACAAACACATCACACATATACAGACGCACGTGCACACGCACAAACACAATAGATGTGTACACTCAAGTAAACATATGCACACACACACAAAGACATGTAAATACAAGTGCCAGTGCACAAATATAAGCACAAAGGCACATGCATGAACGCACACACGCAGCAGCAGGTGCATGTCAACCCATGTGCTCATGCACGCAAACACAACAGATGCATGCACAATCACACACACGACCATGTAGACACACACTCAAGACACACGGGGCGACGTCACGGTGCATCACGAGTCAGAGAGTCCAGCAGTACTGGCGAGAGGAACTCCGATGCCAGGTACGGTGCATGCAAGGACCACTGCTGCAGCTGCCACTGCCTGGTGCCGCTGGGGCTTTGGCTCACTTTTATTTTATTATTTCCATTCTACGTGACTTTACCGAAAGAACCAAGAAGATTTTGCTCACTTTTCGAACCAGGGCTTCTTGACGAGCGGCCCGTCCAGGAGGCCGCCCGGCCGCTTGCGAGGGTCCGGCTCCACCACGATGCGCGCAGCGCCAGGGCCCGGCCCGTCGCGCACACCCGGGGGTGGCGGCCCTCCTGCGCCGCACACCACACAAGGCTCTGGGGTCAGCTCGTACGGTGGAGGCTATCGGGTCGAAGCTCAGCAGCAAGGATAGGACATCAGGCGGGCAAACACGCACCGCGAACGCACCACACTCGCACGGGGCTGGGCGAGTGAAGCCAGCAGGGCTCAGGAAGCTCACGATTAAGGAGTTGGCTGAGCAACAGGGCACGTGGGAGTCGGGCCTAACTTCTCACCGAATATTTGCTCGGTCACTGGTAAACTGGAGTAGCTGGCACGTGGCTGGCAGTAGCCACAACCATGGCAAGATGTATACTGGGTGTGGTGTGCTGGGTGCAGATAGAGCGTGCCAGATGGCGGAGCGGGAATAGAGTGCGGGTACCTCTGGGGCCGCTGTGGGGCTCTCCGGACGTGAGGCCTATGAGGTTGGGCCGCAGGTTCTGGTGTCTCGGGGGGAACGGCCGGAAGGAGGAGCGAGCGGGGCCCGTGAGGCTCGGAGACTCGGGGTTGTAGCCGTCCGGTTCATAGGGGTCTGGCATGCCACACCGTCACACACACAACCCACATGGGATACCCCACAAGCCACAACACACACTGTTATACAACACATGCAACAACCGCCATGCCCCACCATGTCATACGACATCACACACCACACCGTCGCAACACACCATACACCGTCAGACCACACCATACACCGCAAAACAAACCACCCTAGGTATGCAAAGACACCCCGTGATGCTATCACGGGGCGTGTGGGTGCTGTGTGTGCAGTACGCGCAGTAAGTGTTTTGTGTGCCGTGTGTGTTGTAAGTGGTGTGTGTGCTGTATGTGCAGTGAGTGTCGTGTGTGTGCTGTATGTGCAGTAAGTTTTTGTGTGCTGTATGTGCAGTAAGTGCTGTGCGTGCAGTATGCGCAGTAAGTGTTTTGTGTGCCGTGTGTGTTGTAAGTGGTGTGTGTGCTGTATGTGCAGTGAGTGTCGTGTGTGTGCTGTATGTGCAGTAAGTTTTGTGTGTGCTGTATGTGCAGTAAGTGCTGTGCGTGCTGCCCATGTTTCTGTGTGCGCTGCCCACATGCTGCCCTACGCACGCACCCATGTTGTACTGAGATGCCTGGGGCAGCAGTGGAGGCGGTGGGATGTGGATGCCGGGTGGAGGAGGAGGGGGGATGGTGGGCACCGGTTTGGACACGGGCGGGGGAGGCCCGTCGATGCGGGACCCCGGTAGGGGCGGGGGTCCTGGGCACAGCAAAGGGGCACACAGCAAGGTTAGTGGTGGGGGGGGGGGCGACACACTCGGGGACAATGCACTGCTGTCACGCCGCACAAGGTGTGTTTGAGGTAACGGTGCGTATGGAGCAGAAGCTTGTGGTTAGCGCAGCACGCCATGATTCCAGCGACTCAAGGTCAATTCCTGCTCGCGGCCAACATTACTGACAAATATCTGAACCAGTCCCGTCCCTTCTTTAGGTCAACTCGGCCTTACAGGACTAGTCGGTGCGATGTATATATATATATATATCACCATCCGGGAAGACAAAGGCGACGTGGCGTGTTGCTAGGCACACCACCCCCTCGTGTGCCGTGTCGGCTTTCACAGGTCCTTGCTAACAGCACTTGCCCCAACAGCCTATAAGACTTTACACCATTGGAACCTCATTTGCCAGTAAAAAATATGATAATTGGTTTTTTACCCTTCTATCTGGCAACAAAACTGACACCTTTTTTACAAGGAGTCATGTTTGCATAGACCACAATACCTCCAGTCATAATGCAAACAAAAAACATAACTCTGTATGCACTGTCCTTGAAGTTGATTGGTCCACACCCGAGACAGCTTTCCATGTGAGACTAGGCTCTAAGGAAAGCTGTCTCGGGTGTGGACCAATCAACTTCAAGGACAATGCATACAGAGTTATGTTTTTTGTTTGCATTATGGCTGCAGGTATTGTGGTCTATGCAAACATGACTCCTTGTAAAAAAGGTGTCAGTTTTGTTGCCAGATAGAAGGGTAAAAAAACAATTATCAACCTATAAGACTGTTGAGGAATCTTTGCCTTTAGTGTACGCGTTCGCGCGAGTAATAGAACATGCGTGTGTGCATGCTGATGCGTGTCTGCATGCAGATGCGTGTGTGCATGCAGATGCGTGTGTGCATGCACATGCGTGTGTGCATGCACATGCGTGTGTGGATGCAGATGCGTGTGTGCATGCAGATGCGTGCGTGCATGCAGATGCGTGCATGCAGATGCGTGCGTGCATGCAGATGCGTGCGTGCATGCAGATGCGTGCGTGCATGCAGATGCGTGCGTGCATGCAGATGCGTGCGTGCATGCAGATACGTGTGTGCATGCAGATGCGTGTGTGCATGCAGATGCGTGCATGCAGATGCGTGTGTGCATGCAGATGCGTGTGTGCATGCAGATGCGTGTGTGCATGCAGATGCGTGTGTGCATGCAGATGCGTGTGTGCATGCACGTGCGTGCGTGAATCAGATGCGTGTGTGCATGCAGATGCGTGTGTGCATGCACATGCGTGTGTGAATACAGATGCGTGTGTGCATGCACATGCGTGTGTGCATGCAGATGTGTGTGTGCATGCACGTGCGTGCGTGCCCACCAGACACGGGTGGCAGAACGGGGGGCATCGAGCCTGGCCGTGGAGGAAGAGGAGGTGGAGGCCCCAGGAGCGATGGTGGGGGTCCGAGGAGGGAGGGTGGTGGGGGCAGGTTGGGAGGGGGCCCCCCCTGGGGTGGGGGGTCCAGCAAGGGCGTGGGGGGCGGGGGAAAGGGGATGATCCCCGGCAGATTCACGTCCTCCACCACCAGCGGGTCGGCGCCGTGGTCAAAGGGACACATGTCCCCTCGCATGCAGAACCCCTTCTCTGCATCGCGCACACAGATACACACACACACCATTAACACACCTACACAACAACACACGCACCCGTATACACACACACTTTGTTATACATGAACAACAACACCAACACAAGCACACAAAAACAAGACAAACCAAGCGATACACGCTGCTACTCACGCTATTGGTACAGCTGACGCTGCTTCTGCAACTCCGAATAGGACTACTGCTGCGGCTACAACTGCTGCTGTGACTATTGCTACTGTTACGACTGTTTGTGCCTCACGTGTGAGGGGGAAACACTACCCCATACAGACAGAACAGGTAGACTTTACATTTTTGCTGTACCGTCTTCTCCTGGCGAGCTATGTCCCCTGCTCGACGCCCACGGCAAGGGAGTTTCACAACATTTGTGCGATGAGCCACTAACCCTCGAGTCCACTGCTGGACTACAGACGTGGATAGTCATCTCCATCCGGCTACTAATGCGGATGCTACTAATGCTGATGCTACTACTGCTGATGCTACTTACTGCTGATGCTACTACTGCTGATGCTACTACTGCTGTTATTATTACTGCTGCTACTACTTCTGTAGCTGCTACGACTAATGCTCTTACTACTGCTGGTGCTACTAATGCTGATGCTACTACTGCTGTTATTATTACTGCTGCTACTGCTGGTGCTACTACTGCTGATGCTACTACTGCTGTTATTATTACTGCTGCTACTACTTCTGTAGCTGCTGCTACTGCTGGTGCTAATGCTGCTATTGCTGCAGCTACTGCTGCTACTACCACTGCTGCTGCTACAGCTGCACCGTCGAGGCCCTCACCGTCGTAGTCCCGGCAGCGCGCCTTGTTCGGCACCACGGGAGGTCCGGGCGGTCCTTTACCAAAGGTTGGTGGGGGCCCGGTGATGTGGTTGTTGCCACGGTAACCAGGGCGCGTCTCCGTGGCGATGGTCGCAGGGAGACCCGGCACGGGGGCCGCCGGGGGGAACTGCGTGGAAGGAGCGGGCCCCCCGGGGACGACGGTGCTGGGCACGTACCCCTCCGCCGGTACGTCGCCTCGCTCCCCTTCAAACTTTTTGTCACGCTCGCGGTCTGGGGAGACACGGCGCTGCTCTCTCACCACGCTGCTCTCTCACCACGCTCGCTCTCCCTCTCATGGGACACGGAGACAGGAGACACGGCGCTTCTCTCTCACCACAGTCAAATTACTGCCTGTTTTAAAGGCAAGATATGCGCCACTTTAATGACTTGCCCAGCAGGCCCACCCATCCCTTAATACGGTCAATTAAAACGGAGCGATCCACTTATGAAAAACTGCATGAAGGTCCAGTAGAACCAAAATGAATGGAGCATTGCAAGTGCGCTGATCAATAAATCCTTGGTCGCTCTTCAACCATGGCAGTTTTTGTGCTGCGATTGAAAAAAAAAAACATTGTCAATATTATTCGTTTTCAGGAATCAATTAAGTTGCTTAAATACTACTTCAATCACTGTTCCCAGTCTGGATGGAATAACTCAGGTCTGAGCCACAGGCTGGGGAATTGTTAAACAAGTCTTCATTTTGTTTTGAGAGGAATTGAGAAATACTTCACACGTCGAAGATGCCGCTGTAAGGTTAATAACCGGTGAAGATTAAGGATTACCCAATTAATCTATAGTTAAAAAAAAACACCCTGCAGTCATTTTTATTTAACTCCATGAGATTAGAGAAGCACTTCTTGCCGATCTTATAGCCTCATTGTTCCCCCGTAAGTGTTTTTTTTATATCATACGCGATATGTAATTCTGTAGCGCTCCATTAAGGCTCCATCTTACTAAAGTCTCTTTTAATTTGCCAGAAGGAACTGTTAATCCAAGGAGCAATGCACTCATGTGTAGCTAATTCTCATCTTAACTGGGGTGACAGTACCAGGAGTTAGTCATACAAAGACGCTAATATCTGTCAACTCATCACAAGTAATGCAAAAAGAGTGGATGGAGCTCAGCGTATTATTTCAGAGAAGCTCTTCATAGTTGCAGGATGAATTGCACAACTTTTAAAAGAGTGCCCTACTCGTATTAGTCACAGGTTGTAAAGCTTCAAGTAACATACAATAGAGATATTCGGATCCATTATGAACGAGATATGAACTCGACTTCCAGAGATGACTTGACCAAAAGCGTGCTCATGATTATGGGTGGGCCCTGAAACGTGCCGAATAAATCAGAATATAAGAGCTCGAAAAAGTCACGAGCCTTCGAATCCACGTCATTATCATAACGTGCATTAAGCAGATATTAATTCGAAGCATCTTATCATAATTAGGTGATAAAATAACACGGGTATTTGGCAAATTCTGAACAGACAGACGAGGCTTAGGTGGGCGATAGAGGATTACAGTGAGGGCAGGTAGTTGGCTCGTGAGTATGAATGAGAAAGACTCAAAGGTAGGAAAGTCCCCAGAATGTTTCTCTTTACGTTGTGATCACGACAACAAATACCCCCTCGCCCCTCAGTAGCTGCTTCATAAACTGACGTATCATTTAAAGGAGAGGCATAAATCAAGGAGGTATTATCATTTGCACTGAGAAAAGTCTCAGGTCAAAAATAGAAAATCAAAGTGTGTAACGCATTATATGATCCCGACGTGTTAAAATGCATTCTATGATCATTGCTTTAGAAGATTATGTTCCATGATGAGTGAACATTATGTAACACAAGGCGCGAGTTTACACTTAACTATGGGAGGTGTAACTGTGATAATGGGAACCTTAATAATAATCAATCCTTATTTTATGTGCCAATATATCTCCTTCAATAAAGTAGGCATCAGTGCACATTACACAAGAACGGGAACAGTACAGGGAGTATAGAGCAACAAAAATAAAATAAGAAAACCATCACGACCTCATCGTCTAACACAGATTACCAGCATTCTTAGGGTTCACGGGGGTGACATGGGGACAATAAGATGAGGAAATGGGAGGCAAGAGGTACAACACAGGGGTGGGTGAGAGACCGAGACTGGAGACACGGGGAGGGAAATGCGGAGGTAGGCACACGGGGGACAGGAGACATGGCAATGGAAGACACGGGGACAAGAGACACAGGGACAAGAGACAAGGGGACGAGAGACAGAGTGACACGGGGACGACAGACGGAGTGACGCGGAGACGGGAGAGCTCACCCTTGCTATGACTGCGCGGGGGGTGAGCGTCGCGCGACCGCTCCCAGCTGCGGCTTCGGCTGCGGCTGTGTCCCCTCCTGCGCTCGCGCTCGTAGCGATCGCGGTACGAGTCGCGCCCGCCTCGCCCGTCCCTGCCCTCGCGCACGTCGGCCCCTCTCCCGTCCCGCGCGTCCCGCCCGTCGCGCGCCTCCCTCCCGTCGCGCCCGTCGCGTCCGTCGCGGGACGAGAAGCGCTCGTACTCGCGTCGGCGGGGCCGCTCGTCCCTCCGCTTGTCATCACGGTTCCTGCGATGGCAAAAAAAAAACGGCGCCGTGAGCGCCGGTCGCTGCCAACTCGCCGAGCCTTTCTCCGTCGCTTACAATGTCGTCGCGTGGACTAGGAAGGGTGCGTGCGCCGTTAGCCTGTGTGTGTGATATTAAATATTTGGGAGCGCGCCACAGTGGTTAGTGCGCTGCGCGACAAACCTGGTGACCCGAGTTCGAGTTCCTGCTCATGGCGATTATCTGAACTGGTCCTGGGCCTCCTCTAGGTCGACAAATGAGTACCTAGTGCGGTGTGTATACATCGCCACTAGGGAGACAAAAGGCAGCTAGGCGTGGTGCTGGCCACCCATCCCCTCGTGCCGTGCCGGCCTTAATAGGTGCTCGCTCACCGCACTTACCCCAAAAGTCTGTTACGGCTATATGGGGGAAGCTTTGGTGTTAAAAATGTGTGGGTTGTACAGTGAGTTAATTGTATAAAGCTTACATGTCATATACAGCATGTACGCTATATACTGTAAACAAGTGTACGTTATAGGCAATGTGTGTGCGCTGGAGACAGCATGTACATTCTGTATAGCAGGTATATTAATAAGCTGGCTTATCCAGGAAAGCCCCAGTAAGTCTAACGACTCTTTTTCAGGAGGGTCATGATGAGTTTTCACAGTTTGGGGTGATGGTCGCTACATACAATTTGTCGTGTTAGTTTTCAAATTAAGAAAATTTGGACCACGAGGCCGGCACATGATAGAATATTCTTCCGAATGTTGTCAAAATATATTTAACTAGCTTCTTTGCTCGTCCTAGGACGGAAGCTGTAATTTTGATTTAAAGCTTTTGTGACTGCTGGAATTCATATTATTTTGGTCTTTCAGTAAAGTCAAGTAGATAGAAAAATAATAAAAATCACGACGTTTCGATCGCAACACGAGCAATCGTCTTCAGGTGAAAAAATACAGCAGGCGGACTGCTGAGGCAGGAGAAATATAGCGAGAGAACTACTGCAGCAAGAGGTTATATCACTTTGAAATGGGTACAACCCAAGGGTTAAGTGGGCAGGGCTAGTAATGAAATTTACAAGTACAGTAGAACCTCTGGTCACGAACGCTTCTGACCACGACCAAATCGGGTTCCGACCAAAAAATTCACAAAAATTTTGAACCTGGTCACGAACACAAACTCGGGTGGCAATCAAACACGGCTGCGGCCGATTTCCCCTTCCACGCCATTTTTTTTGTAAGCGCCAAATTTCCTGTTGTTTGTTTACAAACAACAGTGACCCATGTGTGGCCGCTTGCTCACTCAGTCTCGCTTAGTAATGGTCTCGGTCAGACGTGCGCTCATATTAATTTTGTGAGTGTAGTCATACCCCTCCCCCCTCATTCAAGCCGTAATTTAGAGAGCGAAAGCGCTGAGTACAGTACGTAAATCGCTAACATAAGAACCCGTTAATCTCTTCTCGCATCATTCATACGATGATGCGGTGAAGTAAACGTTCATACGATATTATGGTGAATGCTTCCAAAAACAATACTGTATATAACAATATTACTGTTAACTTACTTTCAATAGAAACATGAATTGCTCGTACAAATATTCTCTCTCAGAATCGACCGACTGATGTAGCAGACGAAACAATCATCTTGTTGAACGATTCTAAACCTTGACGCGGCAATGTTAGTTTTCTCTGTTCAAGGTTTTCTCAGTGTTATTCAATGTTTTTACATTTAGTTTACTATTACACTCTGAATTCTATGGCCTAATTAACTATTTTTGTGCTTAAAAATCTTTAAAAAACAATATTTATATACACTTCGTAGGAGTCTGGAACGGATTAATCATATTTACATACAATCCAATAAGGAAATTAGGTTCGAGTCACGACCAAATCGGGTTGCGACCAAAGTCATGGAACGAATTATGGTCGTGACCAGAGGTTCTACTGTAATAATGTATACCTCGGCCATTGTATTGCAGGAGATTAGCGTGTCAATCTGTTAATGTAACCCCACGACGACGGTGCTGAAGAAGCCATTGTATTTCTAGAGATTAAAGATTAGCATGTCAATGTGAGATGGTTCCCGCAGTAGTGGCTATGTTAATGAGACACATTCAGCCGATTAAACAACGAAAGCCACCGCTACATCGAGGAAAAGGGAAGCAGCGGCTATGTTAGTGAGACATTTAGCCTGTTAGTGTAATTACATTTAACAAGGTAATGTAACTCAGAGAGTCAGAAATAACTGTTAACATCGGCAGGTAGGATGGAAGCATCACAGCCAGTTATGCCTTTGCCTGGTTAATAACATCCTTCCAATGATTGCTCGGTTTGTACCCATCATCTCGGTTGAAATTGTGTCTGTGTTTATATATCTGGATGGCTTCATGAACAAATCTTTGTCGATTGCCAGTTGGTTTGCATAGTACCTTCGTCTTGGAGAAATAAATTTAATGTGTGCCCACAGCATTAAAACAATGACCAGCCACGGCAGAAGTATTAGTCCTACCGTTTCAGATCCGCTTTGTGTTCACGAACACGGCCTGAGACATGTCGCTTGGTTTCTCCAATGCAACTACTGCCGCAGGCACAGCTTAGTTTGTAGACACCGGGGTATTGCATGTCAGGGATCACATCCTTCACAGATGGGACGTTGAATCGAACCTGGATCTTGTGTTTGCTCATGATTTTGGAAATATTTTTGGTGACCCCTGCTGTGTATGGCAAGGTGATGGTTTTGATTGGGTCCTCAGGTGGTTCTCTCCCAACGGTTGGGGTGACAGCTTTACGGATTGTGCAATCCGAATATCCATTCATCTTGAGGGCTTGGTGTACGTGCTCCAGTTCACTGGCTAGGTGGTGATGGTCGGAAATGCAAGTGAATCTTGCACAAAAGTATGTGATCAAACACTTCACTTCATGTCACTGTAGCACTGTATTAATGGCAGTGATTCTTGCACAAAACTATACGTCATAAAACACCTCACTTCATGTTACTGTAGCACTGTATATAACTGTTCAAATTCACTGCTCTGATACTTTATTCTCTTCTGCCTTCGATAGCTGGGGTTGAAATAAATTTGAAATCGATATAATATTTGGGAAATCACCTAGAAATGTCTATTTTACCATGATGTAGAAGCATAAATTAGACTTACCTTTTGTCTCGAGTGCTGAAGAAATACATATACACCAAATCCACTGTGTTGCTGCGTATAATTATTTATTAGATTCACTTTCAATAAAGAAACGTCAAACTTGAAGTGAATTTGCGGAGAAAAAAAATTCCGCTCGACTTTCTTCTGCGTGAGTGTTAACAACATCCACCCGCTCATGAATATTACTGAGGGGGGGGGGGTGCGGCATGTGGAGTGACTTCACGCGCATTACACACAAACAGACATTCTTGGCTCATAGTACTAATGTCCACTGTGAAGCGGAGAGCGCATATGATTAATATGATTAATACACCCCCAGTATTAATCAGGGAGGCCATTGCAATCGAACCATGAACCTTTACAAGCAGCAGCAAACGTTCTTAACCGCTGGGTCACGTCACCACCCGTGTGTTGCGCGTGTTGTCGTGCGTGTTGTCGTGTGTGTTGTCGTGCGTGTTGTCGTGCGTGTTGTCGTGTGTGTTGTCGTGCGCGTGTTGTCGTGTGCGTGCTGTAGCATGCATCCTGCCACTTGCCTGTTATCCCTAGACCCAGCGCTCAGCTGCTTGGGGCTGTGACTTTTCCTCCGCCCCGGCTTGCGGCTGTCGCGATCCTCCTCAGCAGAAGGAGGTGGCGCGTGCTAATCACACGCACGTGCAACACGGGGTCACGCACAACAACGGCCGCCATTCACCACTGAGTGTAGGTGACATCACCACAACACGTGTGCCAGGCAGGGTGCATACTCTTAGGTTTTTTCGGTAAAGTCACGTAGGTAAAAAATATAATTAAAATTAATAAAAGTAATAATAGAAATAAAATAATAATAAAATCACGACGTTTCGGAGGCAACACAAGTCTCCGAAATCAGATGGGACCGTCACAGCTAGATTTGCTGCATCAACACTTGATACAGCAAATCTAGCTGTAGCTGTGACGGTCCCACCTGATGACGGAGACTTGTGCTGCCTCCGAAACGTCATGATTTTTATTATTATTTTATTTCTATTATTACTTTTATTAATTTTAATTTAATTTTTTTACCTACGTGACTTTACCGAAAAAACCTAAGAGTATGAATCCTTGCAGTCTTGAAAGCTTCAAATCTAGAATAGGCAGGGTTCACTTTAAGGCTATGATATGAAGTGTGGAAGACTTGCTGGCAGGTGGTCCCGGGACAAACTCAGGTGTTATGGGTTGACTTCTTGAGATGACCGAAAAGATACACCACCCATGCCCTCCACCATGCCATGCTTCTGCGTTTTATCCTCCCGGCTGCTCTGCTTGTCGTTGCGAGTGCACTCCACCACTCTCCAACTGCCTAGTAGCATCCTTCACGAACCTCCCCCACAGGATAACCACGATAATGCACACACACGCGGCCCGCACCACAATGAGGTGAAACGCAACAGTCCAGGAAATCTCACCTCGTCCTTACGCTCGGGGCGCTCCTGCCAGCCGGACTCGGGCTTGGCCGGCTCGCCCTTGGGGGCCTCGGCAGGCCCTCCAGCCGTGGGCGTTATAGAGGCCGGTGCGTGTGTGGGGAGGTACGACTTGTTGTTGAGGACCTCGAAGAGCTTGTCGACGAAGCCGGCCGTATCTGCGGCACGCGATTAAGAAAGGTTGGCGGATCGTGTAGAGATTTGTGAAAATGCCAATCCCACAGGGCTGCACGGTGGTGGTATAGCAAGCAGACTCCTTTACAAACTCATCTGTGCAGACCTCTGAGTGTTCGCCACTTTATACACGTGGGATTTCCTCTAGGGGAACTCCAATTTAAATCCCACAACTAACAAAATTATATTTTAAAAATTTGCCTAAAATGTTTCTCCATTTTGAACCCGACCGTGCTATCAATGTCACAGCAAGAGACAAATAATCCATTCGCGACTCTCACAGAGCAGTGCGACCCTTTGCCCTTGAGAATAGTCCATGGAGATGGACATCACGAAACTTTCTGAAACCCTTTAAAGTGACCTGGACCACACACTAAAAGCAGTACCCGCAATGCCATATGAGAGTAATGTTCATTACATTACAGTTAAACCAATATTTTTTTAATATCAAGGATGGAATTTATCCAAATTAACTGCAAAAACAAATGTAATTTGATGGTTTTGCGTTTGTGCAGCCATTGGTGACTGGGCTGATGCACTAACTTACTGCACGTATTTACACTGGTCAATCCGAATTAAGGCAGCTGCCTGGCCTCGAACCCGGGGTCTCAGCTCTGTCAGGTCCCAAATACACAAGCTACTGCTCTGCACCACCAACGCTGCTGCTGCAAGGAAAGTTGTACAGTGAAGCTGCGACACTTATTCGCTGGCGTGCGGAGGAATCACAACTGACAGGAGCGCAGTCCCTGCCCCTGTAGCCTCACCTGGCCCCCCCACCACCAGTCTGGCGAATGTTCCAGAGACTAATGCATCTCCTGTCCTCTCGACCTGCCCATGAACTACCTGTCAACAGTCTCCTACATCAATCAATCACATTTCTCCCACCCCATTCACTCTTATCATCCATACCATTCACTCACCTTTCTCCCACCGCATTCACTCTTATCATCCACACCACTCACTCACCTGTCTTGCATACCATTCACTCAGCTTTCTCCCTCTAAATTAACTCACCTATCATCCACACCATTTACTCACCTGTCTCCCTCACCATTCACTAAATTTTCTACAAAACCCATTAACTCACCCATCTCCTTAACCATTCACTTGCCTGTCTCACATACAATTCACTCACTTGCCCACTGGACCTGTCATTTACCTGTCAACTGGACTGGTCCCTCACCTGTCCCCTGAACCCATCCCTCAGCTGTCCCCCTAACACCAGTCCCTCAGCTGTTCCCCTGACTAGCCAACTAAATCACCTGTCAACTGGAGTCCTTCACACTATTCCCAAAGGAACCCCTTCACCGGTCCCACAGTCCTGCCAGCCAACTGCTCCGTACACATAGGGTAGCCACCCGTACATAATTGGTATGGACAGTACACATTTTAATTGGGTTTCCTCAAAACCGTTTTTACTCTTTAATTTGCTAGTTTCACACCATTACTCCAAATCGTATTTACAGGATATATGATGGCTATAAAGTACAGGAAGATTTCATGTAATGCATGTTCATGCTTTACTCAAACACATGCCAGTTCCGTACATAGCCCCAAAACCAGCCCTTTGCATTTCCTACAGACCAGTTCCTTCACTGTCCATGGACTGGTAAATCAGCTGTACCAAAGACCAAGAAAATCAACCGTCACCCAGACTAGTCCCTCAAATATCCAGCAAGTGAGCCACTTTCCATTCAACAGTCCTGTCATGGACCTGTCATCTGAACTGTCCCATCACCTGTCACTAAGACTGGCCGCATTCACCGCCCCTCAAACATTCAGCTGCAAACTAGACCGGTCTCTCACCTGCCCCGCATACCACTTCCTCACTTCTCTTTGAGACTAGTGTCTCAATTATTTTCCAGGAAGATCCCTCACATATCCCAGTCCATCCATTCACCCGTCAGCTCCAACAAATCATTCATCCGTCAAATAAGACTGGTCTCCCACCTGTTCCCACGGTTACCCGTCCCACCAACCACCATCCCTCTAGCAAGTTTGTTTGGTGTCTCCAAGTCTAGGTCCTTGCCTATCTCGCCCTTCACGTCACCTCCCCCCCCTACCTTTCTGCAGGAAGACATCGAGCTGATCCACGCACAGCGCCTTGAGCTCCTTGTCGGGTTTGTCCTTCTTCACCAGCGCAATCACGTACTTCGCCAGGGCCGACGGGTCCGCATCGCAACTGCAGGAGGGACACCAATGCGGGGAGGGGGCACTTAGTAGGGACGGGGACCAAAGGACTTCTCTGGGGGACATCAATCCCCTATAAATCCCGTTTCACCCCTCTGGGTGCTCACTGCACGCCTCTAGGCCTCCCCACTCGTCTGAGAATCTTCCGATCGCCTGAGGAGAACTCGCACCCACTACATCGCCAATCACCGTCAGCCATTCTCTATCCCACTGCTGGATGAATGCCTCCCCAAACCATCGCCATCCCTCACTGTCCGGTGCTGCTACCATTAACGTCTCACTGCTGACACCATCACGGCGGGTCTAAGTCCTCCGTCTGCTCCGCGGTGGTCGTTCTCTTGGGCATCTTCTCCACTCGGGGCTGTCTTTCCGTCACCATTCTCGTGCGTCGGCCCCACACCTCATCCCGCGAGGATGCATCCCTGCACATCTACACGACTGTCCACGGTTACATTTCTATTTAAAGCTTTCGTGACTGCAAAGATTCGTATTCTTGGTTCTTTCGGTAAAGTCACGCAGAAGGGAAATAATAAAATATTATTTTTATTATTTTATTGTTTCCCTTCTACGTGACTTTACCGAAAGAACCAAGAATATGACTGTCCACGGCTCGAAAGGATCTCTCCGGGCCCCAAGTGACGCTTGCAGGCCCCACTAAGCGCATCTGTTATTACGTTTAGGCAAAAAAGCCTCACCGAATCTCGCGAATCTTCTCCAGAAGGGTCCTGGCAAGTTTTTTTTTGCAGTATGGGCCGGGCGATGTCGCTGCTGTGTGTGTACAATCCCAATTGACGAATTTTCGGGTGATTTTTCTGCACTGGAGATACTTTGGGCCAAAACCACGCACTCTGTATTTTTTTTTTATTGAAAGAAACCGGAAAACCCGAAGAAAAAAAACCACACGCAGACCAGAAAATACAAACAACTCCACACGTAAAACGAGGCCCGAGTGTGTAATCTAACGAGGGTAATTGTTTTTGTTTCTGCGAGACACCAGTGCCACCACCCACGGGCCTGTTTACCTCTCAAAAGCCACGAAACAGACCCCTGGTGGGCTTTGCTGCCTTCATCTTAGAGGCCTACACAGGCCTCGACAGACCCTCTGGCCATCTACAGACCTCCCCAAGGCCCCCTCTAGGCCCACACAGGCCTCACGAGACCCCTGCAGGGCCCGTCTCGCCACCACCAAGATGCCCACTGCCTCCACCCTCCCGGGGGTCGCTACTAGTGTGGCGGTGCGTGTGTGTGTGTGGGGGGCCTCACATGGGGTCGAGTGTCTTGGTGAGCCAGGCCTTGAGCGACTCCAGGTTCTCTATGAGCATCCTGCACGCAGGGCTCCGCGTCCCGCGCCGCGGGGCACGGGGGCTGGAGCGGGGGCTGGAGGAGCGGACGAGAAGGCGGGCAGCTACGGCGGGAGGGCTGGCGGACGACTGGCTGGCGTCCCTGTAGACTCGAGGTGGACGTCCCCCGGGGGTGAGTGGCTCTCGATTTGAGCTACTGTACTGCACTGTAGTAGCAGGATGCGCCTGCGTCTGAGGCTGGGTCCCCGCTATCGGCTTCTTGCGCCGGTGTCGCCGGACGAGCAGCCGCTGCGAGGTGTGTCGGCTGCTGTATCCACTGCTGGACGAGTGAGGAGGAGGGAGGCAGGAGGATGAGGAGGAGGAGGAATGAGGAGCGGTGTCAGCTTCACGCGGCAAGGGGCTCAGGGCCTCTCAGGTCGCATGGCTCCAGCGACAACATGGCGGCCGCGATCTCGCGAGAGCCGGCGAGTGTGAGGGCCCCCCCCTCCCCACCCCCCGCGAGATCTCAGCCACTCGGAGTGGACGTGGGGGGAGGGAGGGGCTGGGAGGAGTTTAAAGGGGGGGAGGAGGAGGGGCTACAGGGGAAGCGAATTAGGGGGAGGGGCTATGAGGGGGCTTAGATGGGGAGGGGGTATGGGGGGCTAATAGAGGGGCTATGGGGGACTAAGGGGGGGGGCTATGGGGAGGCTAAAAGACGGAGGGGGTATAGGGGGGGGCTAATAAAGGGGCAATGAGGGGCTATGGGGGGCTAAGGGGGGAGGGGCTATGGGGGGCTAATAGAGGGGCTATGGGGGAGGGGCTATTGTGGGAGGGGCTATGGGGGGGCTAAGAGAGGGAGGGGGTATACGAGGGGCTAATAAAGGGGCTATGAGGGGGCTATGGGGGGGGTAAGGGGGGGGCTAAGGGGAGGGGCTATGGGGGGCTAAGGGGGGAGGGGCTACGAGGGGGAGGGGCTATGGGGGGGGTTCCCCGTGGTGACGCAAGAGTCACCATTCTGGCAAATCGCCTGATGAAGCTGGTGGTGGTGGTTGTTGTTGTTGTACTGACCAGCGAAACGTCGTACTACTCAAGTTGTAAATGCAGTGGGTTTACTCTCGAGCGCACCCGTGTGCTGAAGTAGTTTACTAATTGGCACGTGTTGTTTACGCGACAAACCTTATTAATTGGCTGTGTCGGGTGGTGGTGGGTAAACTACACATTTATATTTACGCGATATTAAAAAATTAAACCTTTTTTAAAAACACGCTTTTATGAAATGTACTAGTAATGGCAGAACTCCACGACTCCAGGAAGTGGCCCCGAAGGTTGCCGTAACGTAAGGGACCGTGGCCAATTACAGCCAACGTCAGTTGAGCGTGGACAATTAGACCCAAGCCGAAACATAACATACAAAAAAGAATGTTTAAAAATAATTGTTTTGTTTTTTATGATAGAATATAGTATTATCATCAGTATGACATAAGTATACCAAGTTTGCAGTCGATACCACATTGGGAAGTGGGTTAAAATTGAGTTACAAGATTTGAGGATGCAAAAACGACAACAACAAAGTGATTTACACTATGAGACCTCCTTTACCAGTGGCAAAATATAGTAGTAGATTTTTACCCTTTAAACTGGTACAAAACTGACACCTTTATACAGTTTAAAGGGTAAAAACCTACTTCTATTTTTTGCCACTGGTAAAGGAGGTCTCATAGTGTAAATGCTTACCCCGAGTTCTCAATACTCTGATAGTGCGCTGTTTTTGAGTTGTACGCCTTTTGGCGTCATCTGGTCCAACACCAATGGAGACTAGGCTCTAAGGAAAGCTGTCTCGGGTGTGGACCAATCAACTTCAAGGACAATGCATATCATTATCAGAGTTGTTTCTTTTTGTTTGCATTTTGACTGCTTGTGTTGTGGTTATTGTAAACATGATGCCTTGTATAAAGGTGTCAGTTTTGTACTAGTTTAAATGGTAAAAACCTACTGCAACAAAGTGAGTTAAAAGAAAGCGTGTAATAATAAAAAAATATCTTTATTACAGAAGAGTCGGCTTTACAGGGGCCTCTCCCGGGGAGTCGAGCTAGGGGGCGACCTCGCCTCGCCTGACCCCGATTACTGAGGCAGCGAGAGCGGCTTCAGGTGTGTTCGCATGGTGCAGTGAAAGGCGTGAGACGGGGGTCAGTGAGGGGGGTGAGGGGGGTGAGTGAGAGGGGTCAGTGTGATGGGGATGAGTGTGCTGGGGTGAAAGGGGGTGAGGATGACGGGTGAGTGACATCAATCAACGTCGATCAGCAGTGATGGTGTTTGACGTCACCCTACTCATCACCCTTGTATCGCTACGACCACGGTCACTCTTCACGTGAACTTCACTCATGGATTCCTCCCCCGTAGTTAGGACTCGGTCCACCAGACAATCTGTGTTCAACCACCGCACTTCAGGTCAACAACAACAACAAGGCACTCTCACACCCACTCATCCACTCATCCACCAAATGATCCTTTATATGGCGGTACCCCGTAGTAACCAAATAATACAAAATGCCCGAGGCAATGAAATATTTTATTTCTGGGACACGAATTTTTTCTAGGGGTGTACTTAACTCCGCGACTGGGGTACCAATCAATCCGCGATGTCGAAACGCAGCGAGGACGATTGCGCCGAAACCCTGAACGCTCGCGGCACGCACCGTAGTGGTGGGGCATCGTGTACAGCTCGTCGAGATGAGTCGATTGCCGCATCGCCGACCATCAACAGACTAACCCCGGGGTACCGCCATGAGGTTCAATTCATCCACTCACTAACACCCCCACACACTCACCGCACTGCTGCCCACAACTCTGTTCCCTTTCCGCCTCTCCCCCTTGCACGGCTTCGCTTTGGATCCCCCTCCTCCCATCATCGTCGTCTCTTGCTCGTTTCAAGAAAGGTGTCAAATAAATAACTGTTGTTCATTACAACTTAAATGGTGCTGTTTGTTGCTGGTCGTTTTGAGTTGTGGGCCTCTGCTAATAAAATGTGATTTAAAAATAATATATCCACATTATTTGGTCATCAATGACAGAAATGATCAAATATCATCATTATCAAAATCATTCATCATTGATCATCCCTATGGCCGGGAGTCGGTCCTCCCCTGGATCACTGCAGATCGCCGCCACGTGGTGGCGCCACAGCGCTTGGGATGCATCTTGGGGGCTCGCTGGAGTCACGTGGTGCTGCCCGCCCCCCTCCGCCTCACTCCCTCCCCAGGGCAAAACCCTTACGATGCTAACATTTGATGGAACTTAAACAAACTCTAAGCTCGTTAATTAAAATGCGATTAATCGTTTAAAAAAGTTACGAATGGACGAGGTGTGGCGGCTGAAGTTTGCGCCCCGTGATGTGTTCTTTGCACACCGCAATTCCGGGGATGTTTCTGGATCCGCTGCACAATTCTTCGGCGGGGGGTCCCAAATCTGTGCAAGGGGTTTATGTCCGGTTTAACATCCGTGTGTGTGTGTGTACATTGCGATCTTTTGGTTATGGTTTTAGAATATGGATGGAGTCATTTCCAGATGTTGGGGACTATCGGATTTGAAAACGCGACTGTGGGATGTGTTTAACCCATCTGGGACCTTTGTGAGACCCTTTTGTGTAAAAAATAAAGGGGATCTTTCAAAACCTGTGAAATCTGTAGCTCATATAATTTCGAGATATTTTAATATTTACAAAATCGATGCTGACATTCTGGACATATTGAATGGTTGTACCGTCCCGTTCATTCCTGCATGTGATGGTAGCAGCAGTGTGTTCAGGAGCTCGCCTGCCGGAAGAGCTCACCGATAGATAAAAAAAAAACTGTGCCCCATATCTTTTAAGGATCCGTGAGCTGCCCACACAATCCAGTCTGGTTAAACCCAGGAAGGATCGTAGGCAGGCCAACCTAATTGTCTCAAGCCGGCGCGAGCGTTCCTGTTAAGGACCCCACGTGCCGCAAACACAGAGCAGTTGTTGTATCTGATAAGACCCGGAGCTTCGTGTGGAGCGACAAGCTAGTCAGCTTCTACACAACGTTACTCACTTAGTTGATGATGAAAAGATAACTCGGCTAGACTGATTCGCTGCCAAACTGGAGCTTGTCGTGACACACTTCCCAAGTATGGGCACTCCTCCAACTTCTTCACTCCCGCTCTCGACTCAGAGAGAGAGAAAGTTGAAGGGGTGGAATGCTCAGGTGCTTGGTTTTGGTGGAGCTGATAGCTCTTTGTAGCACGCTCCAGATTCAGCCTCCCATTGTATCGACAACAGACAGGAGTTTCCTTGGTTTGGCCATGTTTGTTTGATGTAGTACGGAGTTCGACTGATGGCCTTAATCTAAGTTGTCTTGTAGTTGTTGTTGTTTGACTTGCATCCCACTGGGATTTTTGCACACAGCGTTGGTGTACGGTGCCTTTTTTCTGGAATTTTTGCAGTTTTTTCCCCTGGATTTTCAGTTTGCACATAGTCACTTTAAGATGTTTTCTTGTTTTTGTTTTTTGTTTGTTGCGGTTGCACCCGATTCAAGAGCCGAATGGCTCACAGGGCTATACCTAATAAATGAACTTGAAACTTGAAGCAATGGAAAGTTCCTCAAATTACGTGGCCAAAGAAGATATTAAATGGTGTAGGGGTCAGAGGAAATCCCTGTCGCACGCCAAGGTGAACAGGGATGGCTCGGACTCCTGCCCACCCTCGTGAATGTGTGAGCATTGCTGGGCTTGCCTCCCCAGGAAAGCCACACCGGGTTTCAAGAGCAATTGGCAGATACTATTTCAGCATTTGGCCAATACCAGTGATACTGTGTGTTTAACGACGTCGTTAATGAAGGATCCTTAAAGATCGTAAACTACGGGCCAGTGACACCAAAAGCCAAAGCATTCGGTCCTTGATGGTGTCGTCGGTCATGACTTGGCCAATAATACATTGGGGTGGGCCCTGTGGACATTTCCTACACACGCGCGCCTGTGCAAGTGCTGGGAGCGAGTGGCACTACAACAGGCGGAACGCGATGTTTGTACACCGTACTACGTACTCATTTGAGACCGAGACGACCTAGGCGGGACCCAGGATGGGCTCATATAAGTGTTGGCCACAGGCAGGAATCGAGAATTTAAGGCGCAGGGTTCATAAGCGCAATACCACTGCGCACTGCTGTAGACACACAAAGATAAAGATCCCCCATATAGCCTTAACGGACTGTAGGGGCAAGTGCTGTTAGCGAGCACCTGAAGGCCGGAACGGTATACGAAGGGGCGAGTGGCCAGCACCACGTCCGACCGCCTTTGTCTCCCCAGTGGCGATGTTTACACACCGCAACAGATACTCATTTGAGGCTGAGTCGACCTAGGGGAGGCCCAGGACCAGTTCAGATAATCGTCACTAATGTTGGCCGTGAGCGGGAATCAAACCCGGATCGCCGGGTTCATAGCGCAGTGCGCTAACCGCTACACTACCGCTCCCCACTTGCACCTGCAGACACACGCACCTGCACACAATGCATGCGACAATCAGCGAGGAAAAGACGCGGCGGCAGAGGGAGGCGGCTGGGAGGGAGGCGCTCGGGATGGATAGACGTGAATGGCGGGACGGGGGTGATTGAAAGTGCGTTGCCAGCATCTGTGGAACGAATTTCCACGCGACCCAGAATTCGAGTTCAAGGGCCATTTCTGGGTTGGTTGAAACGAGGGAGTGGCGTTTTCACGACATGCCGAGTGACTCGGTATTCCAGGTGAGCAGAGCCCCTCTCTCACAGCAGTCCTTCCGAGTGAGACTTCTCCAGGAATACTTGCCGAAGGTCAGGACCCGAATGCGGACAGTAAATGTAAAAATTGTGTTGAGAGCCGCTTTTGATTAGGAGCTTGGATAATTCCTCTTGTTAGTCCCTTGGAATTGACACCATTGGGGGCACGAGTGGTGCCTTCACCAACATCTCCACCTCACTGTCTGTCGCTTCGTCTATCATCGAAGGCAGCTTCTTTCCCGTTCAGCGTTTGATGTTGGACATCCACTCAGATCCAGATCTCCCCCTTCTTCGAGCACCTTCCAGCGTTCCCTCCGTGGCCGTCTTCTGCAGCCGGTCACCATTCACTCTGGTCACGTGTCCGAATCACTGCAGTGCCCCGTTGTCCATCCGCCGCACGTCTGATGCTGTGTACCAACAAAAGTATTATTTTATTGTTCCTGGGTAGTAAGTGTTATTTCCTAATTGCTTATGCCTCAAAAGTACAGAATATGGCTCCTATTCCCCACAAACTTTGCTTTTGTGACCAGGACAGTGATATTTTGAAATTGATCTATTTTCAATGAGAAAACGTGTGCATTTGTGTCATTCCTTCACATAAAGTCCTGGTCACAAAAGCAAAGTTTGTGGGGAATAGCCATTTTCTGTACTTGTGGCATAAGCAATTAAAAAATAACACTTAGTACCCAGAAAAAATTGTGTTACATAGTGAATTAGCACGGTCGGCTACGTACAGTGCGAAAGAAGTTCAACACACTGTACCCGACCTGGCCGAGAAGAAGCGAGTCTCCCGTCTGTGCCCCCCAGGGCTCCCTTGCTCGTCTCACGCTCTTTGTAAGACATGTCAGGATTCTCTGGCAGGCTTTCATTTCGAAGGCAGCAATTCTCCTCTCCGCGCGGTCAGAGTTCCTACCCAGGAAATCGAGGACAGAGAATTGGGGGGGGGGGGGGCTGCATTACGAATTCACCGCCAAACTCGAGGCGACGGGACCCCCCAAATCCGCGTTGCGAAGAGTGAAAAACCTCGGAGGTTCAACTCCCCCGAGTTTTTAGCGGCTCTCGGAAAACTCGGGAAACGGAGGGGAGGCGGGTGGGGCGACAGACGACATGAAAAGTCAGGGAGACGGGGAGGGAGCGAGGGAGGGAGAAGACGGGGAGGGAGAAGACGGGGAGGGAGGGAGACACGTGCCGTGGAGCGGGGATGGGTTGCGGTGGCCGGAAAGGGCCGTTTCCTCCCTGTGGGAACGGAGCCGCGGGTCGTGGGGGGGGGGGGGGAGGCCCGGTGTCGAGGGGGGGCGGCGGGCGGGGACTCCGGCCCAGATTCAGCCATCGAGTGTTGCTGCCATAGCCATGCTCCCTACCCTCCTCTTTGTGCAATGACCCCCGACACGTAACCCTGCCCTGTTACCCGTTCCACAATCCTGCCCTCGGCTCAACAACCATGCTCTTGGTGCCCTGTCCTCCTGCTCAATGCCCCATGCCCTCTCCTCGCCCACAGCAGCAGCAGCAGCAGCACCGCACGTTGTCCACCAGGTCACACAGGTGACCTTACGCTGTGGGCGGGGGGGGGGGTGTGGAAGTTTGACCTCACGTGGAGGAACATGCGAGAGTGGGAGTGGCGAGACGCACGACACGGAAATGCAGGGAGATTGAGGGAGATGACGGAGACGCGAGCATTGAGTGGAGATGAGCAAGGCAGACGAGACAGCCTCGAGGGAGACGCAGAGACCCAGGGGAACATGTTGACTCCGAGTAGGGGGGGGGGGGTATGAGAGAGACTAAGACTCCTGGAGAGAGGAGGAAGAGAAACATGGCACTTGAGGGAGAGCAGATGAGGGCGGCGCGGAGGAGAATGGCCGAGGGAGACACGGACACGAGACGGAAACCTCGAGAGACAGACCCACGCGGGAGATGAAGACATTGGAAGATGCCGGGAGAGACTCGAGGACATCTTAAAGAAGACAGAGACGCAAGGGAGAGGATGGAGACAAGTCCGGAGGGAACATCAGCGCACAACTAAGACGATCCGGAGACGCTACCAGAGATACAAAGACGTTGGAGAGAGAGAGACAAAGACTCTGAGCGACGCGGAAACGGGAGACCCCGAGACGCCAGGAGAGACGCGCGCAGGAAGACTCGGGGACGCGCATTGCACGGGTATAATCATTTATTTATTTATTTCTATAGGAAGCAACCCCCCGCCCGGGGCCCCTCCCTCCTCAAGCACAGAGCGCAGGGCCCCCGGGGAGCGGGGGGGGGGGGGTCTGCCTCTCGCATACATCTGTAAAATAAATATTATAAAACTTTGGAATAAATATTTCTCTTTACACAGGAAAACGACGACGAGAGGGGGGGGGGGGGCCCGCCCGGGACCCACGGAGGGGCCCCTACCCGGGGGGCCCAAGACCCTGGATAGCGCGGCCAAGGGCCCTGTACCCTGAATAGTGGGGGCCCACCGGGGTGGAGGAGGCTCCTCTAGTGGTATGGGGGGCCGCACCGCATCCAGTGGAGCCGTGTGGGGGGCTACACAGGGAGGTGTGTGTGGGGGGCACCCTGTAGTGGTCGAGGGGGGAAGGGGGCGATGGGACCCCTGTAAAGGTGCGGGGGTCCTTGCGGCGGGGGTCGCTACGGGGCTCATCGACCCCCGTCGAGGTGTGGGGGGATGTGGGGGCTCTAGAGGTAAGGGGCCCCCCCCCCAGGGCCCCCCCCCCACCCCCTGGAGGACCCCTGCAGTGGTCGGGTGAGCTCTGCCGCGGGGGTGAAAGAGGGGACACGAGTCACGTGCCGCCAATATATACTGTGTATACTGTAATATAGACTGTATATGGCACCGACTGCAGCGTCGTGCATGCGCACAACGCGCGGCGGTCACGGGCGTCGCATGCGCCCACGCCGCGCGGCGCTTCCCGTCACAGTTTGCGAGCGCCCGTTCCTCGTCCGCCCGTCGAGCTCGCCGGCTCGTCGCCGCGCCCTCCCCTCCCTCGGGGTCCCCGCGTCTCTCGGCGGGCCCGGCGGGCCGGCGGGGGGCCGGGGCGGTCGCTCAAGCGGGCTTCTCGGCGGCGGGAGACTGCGCCGGCGCGGCCCGATCGGAATCGGCGTCGTTTCGCCGGCGCCGACATCGGCAGCCGGGCCTCTGCAGGCGGTCGTACGCGGCGCGCGCCAGCTTGAGCGCGGCGCGGCCCGGCGGGTAGCACAGCAGGCAGGGCAGCGCCAGCGAGAGGGCGCCCAGGCAGGCCCAGCGCGGCACGCAACCCGCGCGCCGGCACGAGCACGGGTTGTCGGCCCACGAGTCCCCCGAGTCGCCCACGTCGGTCTGCGGCGAGCAGTGGTAGAAGAGCGCCTTGACGCAGCACAGGCACGTGCACGACTCGAGCAGCGCGCCCGCCGAGCACAGGCAGCGCTTCTCGCACAGCCAGCACGCGGGCAGCGAGCGCCTCGTGGAGCCGCACTCGCCGCACGCGCACTTCCCGCACCGCTCGCACGCCGCGTGGCCACGCGCGCCGCCCTCGCCGCCCTCGCCGTTCGTTGGAGACCCCGGCTTCTCGGCCGGCGCCGGCGCCGCCCGCTCGTCCGTCGGACGGGACGGCGCCGCGCCGCCCTCTCCCGCGCCGTCGTCGCCGTCGTCGTCGCCGGCACCGCCTCCGCCACCCCCCTCGCCGCCCTGCGGCTGCCGCTTCACCACGAGCGCCGCCGGCGCCGCGTCCGGAGTAGCCGGGGGGTCCGTTGGGGCGCCGGCGGGGGACGGCGCGGGGCCCAGGTGCGGAGGTGACGGCGGTGCCGGGGGCAGCAGGCGCTGCTCGGAGCACGTGCTGCCGGTGCTCGTGCGAGCGCTGCTGCTCTTGGAGCACGTGCTGCCGGTGCTGGTGGACCGTGCCACGCGCCCCGCCAGCGCGACCGGCTTGTGCGGCGGGGAGCCGGCGCGGTGCTGGTGTTGTTGCTGCTGCTGCTGGTGGAGGGGCAGCGGGCCCCGTGGAGCGCCTGCCCTGGCCGCCGCAGGCCCCGTGGCGGGCCCCGTGGCGGGTCCCGTGGCGGGCCCCGTGGCGGGTCCCGTGGCGGGCCCCGTGGCCGTTGTCGTCCCCGGGGGCCCGTCCGTGTAGTCGTTGCTCGCATTCGCGGGTCTAATCTGGCCGAGGGAGAGCACGGGGGCCGGGGCGCCATCGGTGGTGGTGCCATCCAGCAGCGGGGAAGCCTCTCCTCGCTGACTCCTGGGATCCATGGCGGCCCCGGATCATTGGCGCTGCGCTCCTGCAGCCACACGTCGACAGCTGTGAGCGAGCGCCTGTCACGGCACAGCGGAGCGCGCGAGAGAGGGTGGTGTGGCACAATGGTTAGCGCTCTGCACTATGAACCCAGTGACCCGAGTTCGAATCCTGCTCACGGCCAACACCAGCAACGATTATCTGAACTGGTCCTGGGCCTCCTCTAGGTCGACTCGGTCTCAAACGAGTAGATGGTACGGTGTGTAAACATCGCCATTCGGTAGACAAAGGCGGCCCTCGTGAGCTGTGTTGGCCTTCATGGGTGCTCGCAAACAGCACTTGCCCCAACAGTCTGTTAAGACTACATGTGGGAGCCAGTACCACATTGTCTTACAAACGCATGGGGAAGAAGATCAGGTTGAGATGCCACATTCCACTCACGTCGTCTCCAATTACATTTGTTGCTCATATAAATGCAAAACAACTAATTCCAGTATTCTCAATTCACAGCTGGATGAAGGCCTTCCCCCACACACCGTGCCGGGGATGACGCGAGTTTTTTTTTAGCGTACCTCACCGCGCTGGTTCTTGCTGGTTGGTATCAGCGGTGGGGGGGGGGGGGGGGGGGGGAGGTCAGGACCAGTTCTGATATCACTTCGCCATAGCTGTGAGCGGGAATTGAACTCTGATCGCTCGGTTCACGGCACCGCGCGCTCACCACCGCACCCACCCGTCTATCCAAGTCGACATGATTTTGACAAAATCTGAGCAACACAAAAACAGCCATGTTGTACGGCTCAGCCTCCATAGGACGCGGCGGTGGCAACAACAAGAGACAAGTTATATAAAACAACAAGCCCCGCAGAGATGCGACGCAACAGTGGCCACACGTTAGGTCCCGTTATCTCCAACTTCATAGCCGCACGATTCGAGACCAGCATCGACGGGCCAGGTCTGGAGAACCACGTGCATGCGCCGTCGCACCATCCCACAGGCACATTTAGCATTTTACATTTAACGAGCGGAGCGCACGGAGCAGTCGTCGGGGAGCCAAATGCCTTCGGATATTTGATGTTAGCCATGGCCGGGAATCGAACTCGGGTCGCCGTGTTCACAGTGCAGTGTGCGAACGACCGCGTCACCACGCCGTCCCCCTGTCCCAGATAATGATTGCACCATGTGAACGATGTACTTGTCAGACCAGGACGTTTCCAAACACACAGCCGCCGCTATGTTCATCATATCTGTGGTTACATTCAGGGCTGTGCGCATTTGCAGGGCCACTGTGGTATTTGTGCGAGTTGCGGTCATTCTCATAGACGATCTCTCCACCCTAGGGTCTTTCTACTCTTAATTCATACGGAACGTTATCCTCTATTCATGCTATTCGGATTTAGTTTGTGCCCATGTGACATTTCTTAAGAGCAGTGCTTTTCTGCCTAAGCGCCCTCCTAACGGCACGGGCGTTACTACTGCGCCACCCTGCCAGGGTCGAGAGATGTGGGAAGAGCTCTTCCCACAGCTCCGCTATGCAAAGCCCACATCCCTCCATCTGTGCAACATCTCCCACATCTGATATTCCCTACCCCGGCTGTTGCCAAGACCCCATCCACGCCTTCATCATATCCCGACTCGACCGTCGCAGCTCTCTCCACGATGCCCCCCACATCCCTCAACTCCCCAAGTCCCCACGTCCCTCACCCCCCATCCCTCAACTCCCCACGTGCCCACGTCCCTCACCCCCCATCCCTCACCGCTAAACCTCAAATGACTCGCAATGCCACCGCCAGGCGTCCGAGCCCATTCTTCAAATCCCTCGATTGGCTGCCAATCCTGTCCTTCACCGATTACAAAATCACCCTCGCCATCTTCAAGATCGTCCATGGATCCACTCCCACCTCCGTCTCCGATCTCATACCACTTCACACTCCCTCCTCGCTAAAGCCATGACAGTCTTCTGCTGAAACCCTCAACGTCCACTCCAAGGGAGGGAGGTCGCTCCTCCTCCTCTGCCCCTGAGGGTCTGTCTGTGCACGTTCGGGTCATCTTCTTCTGGCCATCCACGGCTCCGGTTGCCTCCCGACTCGCGAGTCGAGGCTCTAGACCAGGAGTGGGGAACGTCCGGCCCGCGGGCCTCATACGGCCCGCGGGCCGTATGAGACCCCGCGAAGTCATTTGGTCTGGCACTGCCAAGGCAACCGCAGGCGGGACTCGAAATTCAATAAATCTAGGAGCAAACCTGGAAAAGCAGTTGCGAGTAGCAGCATCATCAATACCAGCTAACATCACACGCCTCGCCCAAAGAGAAGCAGTTCCAGCCATCGCATTAGGGGTGAGTTAGTTAAATGTTTGTCCAAATGTAACAGGCAAATTTTTAAGTTGATCATTTTGTATGGCCCGTGAATGATGTTGTAAATATCCAAATGGCCCTTGGCAGAATAAAGATTCCCCACCCCTGCTCGAGACACTGGCGCTACACTGGCAATGCTAACCTACCGCGGCAAGAACGTGCCCAGGTTCAATTCCCGTCTCGGGCACCTTTCTGTGTAGAGTTTGAATGTTCTTACCCCGTTCTAAATGCGTTTCCTCTGGGTTCTCCGGTTTCATCTCACAGCAAAAAAAATTCTAAATTGACAATAATCACCCTGCTCTTCCCGCCTGCCTCCGACAACCAGGACGCCGCCCTTACCCAGCGTCATCGCGGACATCTCACGGAGCTTGACCTCTGCCTGGCTCGCTGCGGCCTTCAAAGCCCCTCGACGCCTCTGGCGAAATCTCCCCCGAGATGCAGGCGCACGTAGCCCACGTGCAACGGTTAACCCCCGGACACATCGCCTTCTCACTCGGATCGCAGACCCAGGGCTTGCCCCACACACGGACACACACCACACACAAAGATTCCCCGTATGGCCTTAACAGGCTATTGGGGCAAAGTGCTGATAGCAAGCACCTATTAAGACCGACACAGCACAAACAAGTGGGGGGTGGTGTGGCCAGCACCACGCTCTCCGGCCGCATTCGTTTCCCGAGTGGCGATGTTCACACAACACGCACCAGGTACTCATTTGACGCAAGAGTCGACGGAAGAGAGGCGTAGGACCGGTTCAGATATTCGCGTCAGTGGCGTTGGCCTTGAGCGAGAATCGAACTCGGGTCGCCGGGCACGGTGCGCACACAGAGTTGCAGCGTTGGGTATGAAGAAGACGCACGGAGGGGGGCACGGGAGACAAGGCGGGACATCGAGGCGAGTTACAGATGGAGGCGCGTGGAACCCGCTGCGGTGATGGAGCCCCCATCCCCTGTGCTCAGCCCGGCAGCTGCGTGTGCACGCTTGAGTGAGTTTGCACGTGTGTGTGTGTGCACCGAGTGTGTATACGTGCCAGTGCACGTGTTTGTGTGCACTGAGTGTGTGCACTGAGTGAATGCACGTGTGTGTGTGCACTGAGTGTGTGCACCGAGTGTATACACGTGTGTGTGTGTGCTGAGTGTGTACACGCGTGTGTGCACTGAGTGTGTGCACTGAGTGAGTGCACGTGTGTGTGTGTGCACTGAGTGTATACACGTGTGTGTGCACTGAGTGTGTGCACTGAGTGAGTGCACGTGTGTGTGCGCACTGAGTGTATACACGTGTGTGTACACGTCTGTGTGTGTGCACTGAGTGTATATACGTGTGTGTGCACTGAGTGTGTGCACTGAGTGAGTGCACGTGTGTGTGTGAGTGTGTGCACTGAGTGTGTGCACTGAGTGTGTGCACCGAGTGTGTACACCCAGTGTGTACACTGAGTGAGTGTGTGTGCACGTGTGTGTGTGTGCACCGAGTGTGTACACCGAGTGTGTGTGCACGTGTGTGTGCACCAAGTGTGTACACTGAGTGTGTGTGTGTGCACCAAGTGAGTGCACGTGTCGTCGTGGCGAGCAGTGGTGCAGCGATTAGCGCGCTGCGCATCAAACCTCGATTCCCACTCACGGTCAACACCAGCGACGTTAATCTGAACCGGTACTGGGCCTCACTATGTCGACGTAGCCTCAAATGAGTACCTGGTGCGGTGTGTCAACATCGTATACTGGGAAGACAAAGGCGGCCGGGCGTGGTGCTGGCCACCGACCCCCTTGTGTATCGTAATTGTATCATAGGTGCTCGTTAAATACACTTACCCCAAATCTGTAAAAGAGACTTGCCCTTATTTTGTGTGTGCGTACAGGGTGTGTGGATGCTAGGGTATGTGGTGCGGGTGTACTGTATGTGGCTATGCATGTGTGTGTACCTAACGCGTGTGTGTGTGGTGTGTGTCTGTGTCTATGCACGTGGGGTGTGTACCGGGTATTGGTGCGTGTGTACGTGTCTGTGCCGGAGTTCGCCTGTTTGGGGTCCGTATGTGGGAGAATAATGATCGCGTGTGTACGCTTGGTGAGTATTTATGTGTGTATGTGTAAGGGTGTATTCATGTGTGTGTGTGTGTACGTGCGCGGAGTGTGTGATTCCGTGTGTGCGTGTCTGTTGTGTATTTGTGGGTGTGCATATTCATGAGATGTGTGGGGGGTGTCGTTGTGAGATGTACGTGACGGGTATGCTGATGTGCATCTGTGCGCGCACGTGTGTGGGTGCTCGTGTTGCGTGTGTGTTGTCTTTAGGTCAACTCGGCCTGAAATGAGGATGCTAGTGCGCTCTGTAAACATCAGCCTGGGGGAGACAAAGGCGGCCGGGCGTGGGGCTGGCCACATTACTGCGTATGGTTGTGTGTGTGTGTCCGTGGGGGGCGGTAGTGGAGCGATTCGTGCACTGCGCTGTGAACCTGACGACTATCCGAACCAGTCAAGGGCCACCCCCAAGTCGAATCAGCCTCAAGCGAGTACCCAGTACGACGCGTAACCATCGCCGCTAGGGAGACAAAGGCGGCCGGGTGTGGTGCTGGCCCTACACACCCCCTCGTGTGCTGTGCAGACCTTAGTAGGTGCTTGCTAACAGCGCCTGCCCCAAGTCTACAGAGGGGGGGGGGGGAGATTTGTGCGCTTAGGAATATGTGTGCGTGTGTGTGGGTCTATGTATATGACCGCCTGCATGTGCGTGTGTGTGGGTCTATGTATATGACCGCCTGCATGCGCGTGTGTGTGGGTCTAAGTATATGACGCCTGCATGTGTGTGTGTATGTCTATGACGTCTACATGTGTGTGTGTGTCTATGTATATGACGACTACATGTGCGTGTGTGTGACAGCGTTACCGAGAATCTCGCCAAAAGTACGTGCCCCCTCTCCTAACAGCCTGTGTGCTTATGCTCAGTATATTTATGAATTGATGCAAATGCGTTAATACGTAGGTATTCTATACACGTGCGCGTGTGTGTGTGTACACACGTGTTCACGTGTGTGTACACACGTGTTCACGTGTGCGTCGGTGTATCCCGCGTGTATGTCCGTACTACATTTGCACACACTGCGGGCGTATACACAATGCGTGTGCACGTGTAGAGAGTAGAAGGTGTAATAGCGTGAGAGCACTTGACCCCAACAGTCTGCCAAGGCTATACGGGAGATCTTTGTATTTGGTGTGCATGCGGGTATAGGCGAGTACTGCTATATGGGCAAGCGTGTTATGTCGTATATATGGGCACTGTGTGTGTATATGGGCACTATGTGTGTGTATATGGGCACTGTGTGTGTATATGGGCACTGTGTGTGTATGTATATGGGCACTGTGTGTGTGTGTATATGGGCACTGTGTGTGTGTGTATATGGGCACTGTGTGTGTGTATATGGGCACTGTGTGTGTGTATATGGTCACTGTGTGTGTATATGGCACTGTGTGTGTGTGTATATGGTCTCTGTGTGTGTGTATGGGCACTGTGTGTGTGTATATGGGCACTGTGTGTGTGTGTGTGTATGGGCACTGTGTGTATATGGGCACTCTGTGTGTATATGGGCACTCTGTGTAGTTGGGCACTGTGTGTGTGTATGGACACTGTGTGTGTGTATGGACACTGTGTTGTATATGGGCACTGTGTGTGTATATATGGGCACTGTGTGTGTATATATGGGCACTGTGGTGGTGTCTATAGGGCACTGTGTGTGTGGTACTGGGCACTGTTGTGTGTGTGTATGGGCACTGTGGTGTGTATGGGCACTGTGTGGTGTGTATGGGCACCTGTGTGTGTTTTATGGGCACTGTGTGTGTGGTATATGGGCACTGTGTGTGTGTATATGGGCACTGTGTGTGTGTATATGGGCACTGTGTGTGTGTATATGGGCACTGTGTGTGTGTATATGGGGCACTGGTGTGTGTGTATATGGGCACCTGTTGTGTGTGTATATGGGCCTGTATGTGGTATATGGGCACTGTGTGTGTATATGGGTACTGTGTGTGTGGATATGGGCTACTGTGTGTGTGTGATATGGGCACTGTGTGTGTGTATGGGTACGGGGTGTTGTATATATGGGCACTGTTGTGTATTGGCCTGTGTGTGTATATAGGGCACTGCGTGTGTGTCTCTGGGTACTGGTGGTGTAATGGGCACTGTGTGTGTATATGGGCACGTGTGATGTGTATATGGGCCCTTGTGTGTGTTATGGGTGGTATATGGGCACTGTGTGTGTGTGTATGGGCACTGTGTGTGTGTATATGGGCACTGTGTGTGTGCCTGATGGGTACTGTGTGTGTGTGTATGGGCACTGTGTGTGTGTGTATGGGCACTGTGTGTGTGTGTATGGGTACTGTGTGTGTGTATATGGGCCACTGTGTGTGTATGGGCACTGTGTGTGTGTATATGGGCACTGTGTGTGTGTATATGGGTACTGTGTGTGTGTAAGGTCCTGGCAAGGATTATTCAACATCGCCTTGCTAGGCATGCTGAGGAGAGGCTTGCGGAGCCCCAATGCGGTTTCAGGAAAGGGGCGGGTCCTGCACAGGATGCCATATTTTCTGTCCGTCTGCTACAGCAGAGGTGTAGGGAATTCCAAAAAGACCTACATCCTCTGCTTTATTGACTGGTCAAGGCCTATGATACCATCAGTAGGCCTGGGCTCTGGGTTTGTTCTTCGTGCTTTTCGGAGTCCCTGACCCTCTGCTCACGATCATTAAGGACCTTCATGATGGTGAGCGGGGCCCGGGTTAAAATACGTGGCCGGGAGTCGGAGCCTTTCCCTGTACACCTTGGGGTGCGACAGGGATGTTCCTCGGCTCCCACGTTATTTAACATCTATTTTGACCGCGTAGTTCGTGAAGCCTTCAATAGCTGTACCGGAAGAATTTCCCTTTGGTACAGATATAATGGGAGGCTGATCGACGCCCGGGTGCGATCAAGGGATGGCTCCCTATTGGTCAACCACGTTATGTATGCCGATGATTTGGTAATTGCTGCTCACTCAGAGGAGGAGTTGGAGACGCTGCTGCTGAAACTGGAGCGTGCCACTAAGAGGTGGGGCCTTACCATCAGCCCCACCAAAACTAAGCACCTGCCTGGGTATTTTGTACCATCGGACACTCCACCCCCACAACTCCCAATTGGTGATGGGGCAGTTGTGGAGAGAGTGGAGAGTTTCCCATACCTGGGCAGTGTGCTTATGACCGGCTCCAGTCTATCAGCAGAGTCTCACTCCGAATCAGTCGAGCGGCAATATCTTTTCATCGGTTGCGTAACGCTGTGTGGAAGCTACCTGGTCTGTCGCTCCGCACGAAGCTTCAGGTCTTCTCGGCCACGGTCATTCCCTCCCTTCTCTACGCTTGCGAGAACGTGGACCCCCCCTGGTGGAGCAATCTTCGCCGGTTGGAAACATTTAGGCTGGCCTGCCTACGATCCATCCTGGGTTTAACCAGGCTGGATTGTGTGAGGAGCTCACAAATCCTTGAAAGATCTGGGCAAAGTCCCATCAGTGAGCTCCTCCGGCAGGCAAGGGCTGCGTTGGCTGGGTCATGTAGCCCGCATGCCAGCCACCGCATGCCTAAACAGCTTTTGTTCGGCCGGATCGAGGGGGCTAGACGGGCGCGGCACGGGCTGGAGAAGAGATGGAGTGATGTGGTACAGGAGGACGTGGAGCTGAGTGGACTGCCGATGACTGGTACCAGCGGTGTCAAGATCGGCCTCAGTGGAGGAGGCTCGTGAAGGACGCTACTGGCAGTTGGAGGCAGGCCCTCCAACAACAACGGAGGGCGGAGGAGCGACGCTCAAACAACGAGCGGAGCGCCGGTGGCTAAAGCACAGCAAGTTGGCACACAGTAGGGGGCACAGGTGGTGCATCAGCCAGTCATCTCGGTCTCTCGGTCAGTCGACCCGTGGCACCGGTGGGTCTGCCCCGTGACCTCCTGCCAGCGGGCTTTTGACACTTCACGTGGCCTCAAGTGGCACTGGCCTGGCACAAGCATCGTGGTGACGTCACCGCCACTTAGTGGCGAATGGCGGTTGTTGT